TGGAGGAGGGGCTCCTCCTGCTCCTCCTGGACTTCTGCCCTAATGTCCTGCCCTGACAACACCATTTCCAGACAGTCTGGGTCAAATTAGTTCCAACACAAGTGCCCCAGTCAAAATTTGTGCACACAGGATCCAACTATTTCTATGAGCTGGAAGGACAAAGGCCTTGTGCTTTTAGTGACCTGATGCATTAAAGACTTTAAAGGTAAATGCACTTGAGTTAACGCAGATTAAATTTTACAAACTGTTAAACCACCAGATGAGCTAACTCCAGCTTCTGGTAATCCTTCATAATCCTAACATATTTGTAAATATAATCTGATTATGAACTAGGTGTTGCCACAAGGCATGCAAGACTAGTCCTGCTGCATCAGACCAGACAACCATATCTATTCCAGCTTCCTGTTCTCATAGTGGCCCATTGTGGAGTTACACATTGTTCTCTCCCCTCACTTTTTAAGAAACAAAAACTCAAAACTCCCCCCCCCCCCCGGAAGCTATGGTGGTGAATTTATCGATTGTAGGCAATGTTTTTATGCCCAGAACTGGTAGAAAGCTGTATCAATTGATACCAGAAAAAGGAAATGAGCACAGGGACTATGAATGAAGAATCCCAAAAACAATACAAAGTTTGTGTAGTTTTTCTCTGGGATAATGCTTGAGAGGTTTTTAATTGTGCAATTCTACACTGAGGTAATGATTTTGCTTTTTTAAAATTAAGTTGGTATGTTTGAAAATTCATCTCTACTTCAAGCTCTACACACTTAGATTTGCATTAAGACTGATTGGCTCCCCAAAGAGGTACTGGTTTGGTTTGAGTCTGCCTCATGAAGTCCCTGTACACATTGGAAGACACAGCCTTTTACTTTGGGCAAAGGCTACAATGCCATTTATTTAGTTAACAGTCTACCCATTGCATTATCCTGAACATATTTATTGGAAGTAAAATTTGCCTACATAAAAAAATCAAAAAGCTTGCTTTTCAAATACAGTGAAACCTTGTGTTGTGAACCACCACCCTCCTTACGAATGCTTTGGTTTACGAGCTCCGCTAACCTGGAAGTAGATGCCCCTTGTTGCAAACTTTGCCCCAGGATGCGAGCGGAAGTTGTGCACCGGTGGCGCGGCAGCAGGAGGAGGCGCCATTAGCGAAAGTGAGGCATCTGATCAAGGCTTGTATTTTAAAATGAGCTTAAAGATATATTTGCAAATGTTTGTATCTTTCATGCCAGGCAGAAACCAGCTGGCTAAGTACTTTGGCAGTTGTTTATCTTCCTGCTCTCCTGAACAAGAGAGATTTATAGCAGTAGCAGGAGACAAGTTTCTCAAAGTTGTAAAAGGAAATTACAGGCTGGGAGCAAATGTTACACTGACCCTACATATTACAGAATACAATCAAGCTGCAAAAACACTAATTAAGAGTTGGTAAATAGTAAGATTTATTGTTTAACAGAAAATAATATGTGCCTCCCATCAGACTCTAGCTATATTTTCCTAAGGTTTAAGGTATACTGAGAGAGTTAAAGGGCAATAAATTTTGGGAAGAGATAATGGGAAAAGCAGCTGGATGGGAAAGGGGGGTGTAAACTGAAGAGGCTTCTTTTGAAGCTGTTTTTACTGAGTTCCTTTTTTACTTTGCAAAGGCCTTTTCTTCTAAAAAGCTATCTATGTTATGTATGAGATTTGTTGGCTTAATGTAATTATGCAAAGGATTTAGAAAGTAAGAAATGTTAGATTCTTATGTTAGATTCTTATTTCATTGATGGTGTGTGAGAATGTGAACCCAAGATCTCTGTTTAGATAGAATTTACTACCATGAGCCATTTGTTTTAGCCATTTGTTTTGGAATGCAGGGGCAACAGGGGCAAAAGGTGATCTGGTAATTAAGGTGCCTTGTCGAGGCAAATGTAAGATATATGGCTACTTGTCTGCCATTTATGGATAGAAGGAAATATAGCTCTTTGTCTCCCATAAAAGGTAATAGGAAATGGGTGTATCTTTTATGATTGGTTCTAGCAAACAGCCAATAGGAATTTCAACCAGGCTGATTGGACAGAGGCAGCCAAAGGAGGAGCAAGGGGGCTGGGCTGAGGAAATATAAGTGCTGGCCATCAGGGCTGGAGGGGGCAGAGCTTTGGTAACCATATACCACTGTGCCTATCATTTATTTGTCTGACAAATAAATTATTATTTTAATTTCTCTATTGCTGCGTTGAATATTTCATTCCAGCTAAGCGTTAACCACAAGCAGGGTGCTACAAAAGTGCACCTCATGTGAATAATAGTTTCGGGTTACAAATGGACCTCTGGAACGAATTAAGTTCGTAACCAGAGGTACCACTGTATGCAGATACTGAGAATTATGGCTGTACTTTTCTCTGCTGGTTTAGCAACAGAACACTTGATGAAGAACTAAATATTTTTAGCCATTTTATGACTTTAGGAACTAATCTCATTATGCTGAGAGGACCAACTCAGCATTTGAATATTAGGGTGCCCCAACTATGCAACTATGCAGGCCTTGCTTTATTCCCATACAATATGCAAGAGAATGGATACCTAAAAGGGATAGGATAAAACAGTGTACTGCTGTTATACTGAAACACCAGAGCAGGTTCAAGCTACACTCATAAACTCCTTACTGTGTGATAGCAACTGAAAACTTAAAACATGAACTTTCAAATAATTTAACAATGTAAGAAACAACCCTCAAGTGTCTGTGACCAGTGAACAGAATCGTGGAGGCCTGACACAAGCAGTGGTGTTCAGGAAATGGCTGGGTGGGTTTATTTAAAGGCTTTGAGTAATGCAAAGAAACAGCCCAGCATTTTTCTTCTTAAACGTTTTATTCTCAAGCAGCATGCTGTCACTTTAAACCCCTTGGCCAGGTGACTTTCCTTAAACAAATGCAAACAGACCTGTGAAGCAGGAGGTCTTTTAACCTTGAAATGCAAAGCCTCTGCAAAAACAACAGGCTCTGCTGTTTTGTTTAGCAGCCAGTCTGTTACAAGGGATAATTAGGTGAAAAAGGCATGTTCTTAGAGGGCATTCTACTGAAGATGAGCATGTCTAAAAGAAGGACATTAGAAGAGTCTGGCTGGATTGCTGGCCCAAAGGTCCCTCTAGAGCAGCACTCTATAGCCAGTAGAGAACATTCCCTTATGTGGGGAATGTTTTTGTAGCCCAAAGGCCGCATTCTCTAATGAGCAAACTTCTGGGGGGCACTTGCCAGTACTGGGTGGAATCAGAGGCAAAAGTGGGCAGGGCAAAAGTTCAAACCCCTCAACTGTCCCGATTTGAGTGGGACACCCCATATTTACAGAAGCCATCCCAGCTTCTGACTGGATCCCAGAGTGTCTCATCTTTTGGTCCAGTATTCTGGGGCAAATCAGATGGATCCCATGAGAACTTGGGACTCAAAAACTAGCGGGATGTTGATCAGCGGGATGTTGGAGTGTATGAAGTGGGAGAGCGACAATGTGTGACAATGCTAACTAAGGGCAGATCCACACCACACATTTAAAGTACAGTGGTACCTCGGGTTACATACATTTCAGGTTACAGGCTCCGCTAACCCAGAAATATTACCTCGGGTTAAGAACTTTGCTTCAGGATGAGAACAGAAATCGTGCTGCGGCGGTGCGGCAGCAGTGGGAGGCCCCATTAGCTAAAGCGGTGCTTCAGTTTCAGGTTAAGAATGGACCTCCAGAATGAATTAAGTACTTAACCTGAGGTACCACTGTACAGCCAATGCCCATTTAAAGCATACAACCTCCCCAAAGAATCTTGGGAACTGTAGTTTGATAAGGATGCAGAGAATTGTAACTCTGTGAGGGGGGAAACTGTGAGGATCCATTGGGAGAAGTTATGTGCTTTAAATGGGCACCGGATGGGCATTAAAGGTATGGTGTGTATCCATCCAACCCTTAACTTTGTACAGTAGCTTTCTACACACACGGCCCTCCAGGTTCCATCCAGGCAAACAAGACAGGTGGTCAAAGTTCAAAGTCACATTCCAGTCTAGCAAAAGCATTTGTAGGGGGCACAAAGTGGGGGCAGTGAGGTAGCATGTCTTGGGAAGAGTCCACTGGGCTGGAGGTTCCCCAAACCCTTGTCATAAATACCGATATGCAGCAGGCATTTCTTTAGTGATAACATTCCCCTTCCCCCATAGATTTATAAAGCAGCAAGTAGGTGGATAGCTTGCATCATCACCAGTTTCCCTAAGTATGTTAGCCCCAATATATCTGAGCCATAGATAAACCCACAAATATTCAGAGTGCATTGCTGCATCAGCTCTTTCAAGATGTTCCCTGGAGAAGGAAGCTTCCTTGACTGCCGCTTTCTACAAACAAGGCCACAGGGAACAACTCCACTCCACAGAGACTTTATTATTGCAAGGGCAAGCCTTCGAAGTTTGACAGAAGAAAAACCAGCAACTGGCTGTGGTGGACCTTCCAGGACACAGCGTCGCAACTGGCATTTTCCCAAAGTGCCTCCTGGTGTTACAATGCCAAGCATGGAAGCCCTACCAATTTAACTGGAAATGTCTTCCTCAGGCCTAACCCAGACCCTGTTTGTTTTTCAGATATACAGTGGTACTTCGGGTTACAAACTTAATTCATTCCGGAGGTCCGTTCTTAATATGAGGAGCGCTTTCGCTAATGGGGCCTCCCACTGCTGCTGTGCTGCCGGCGCGCTATATCCGTTCTCATCCTAGGGCAAAGTTCTTAACCTGAGGTACTACTTCCGGGTTAGCAAAGTTTGTAACCTGAAGCGTTTGTAACCCGAGGTACCACTGTAATGGTAATCTACACGCCCTCTCTCTCAGCTGTAGCCTAGATACAGGCATGTAGGTTTTTCCAGATTTGTATCAAGCTGAAAATTGTACCTGGAAAAATTAGGCAGAACCACTGGTTAATATTTGGATTCTTTGTTGGATGACTCATCCATGTTCTTCTCTTTTCCACCCATGGGTGAACCTTTCTCTGCTTATTTAGAATTCTGAGGAACAGCCACCTAGGAGAGATGCCAGCCTCCCAGAACAACAACAACAAAATGGATTGGCTGTTTGGTTGTTTTTGGAACAGTTGCCAGAAGAGCAATGGGCAAGGCCAATCTTCCCCACTGAGTTTTGTCTAGGACGAGGACGTCTTAGATGAATAGGCAGAAGAATACAGCTTTTGCATGGAATTTTGTCCTTGGATCCCCCAAAACCACCAAAGGTAGGGGGAAAAGTGTTCGTTTCTAATTATAAGATCAGCAACACTACCCAGATAAATCTCCCAAACTTCACAACCCAGGCTGCTAAAATGGCACTGACTGGAAAGGCAGTGTATATATATATATATATATTTGCTTTCGTAGATTTTCACGGGTACAGGAATGCAGGTTTTGGTGTCCTCGGGTGTCTTCCCGTGTAAAAGTTGGGGTGTCTAGGCGACGTTTCGACGAGGTCTCACTCGTCATCTTCATATATATATATATATATATATATATACATATACACACATGCATGTTGAAATTTGTGATTTTAAATGCAATTGTGTGAATATTTCAATTATATGTTTTGAAAATATAGAAGGAAAAGTGTTTCAGCACAAATGAAATATCAATTTCAAAAAATAAACACACCGATAAAATGCTACCGACAGGAGAGTTAACAGCCAAGGAGTGCTGAAGTAGATGTATGATGAGAGGTTCACTTGCCCATTATGTCGCTGCTTAGATCAAAACTACACCTCTTAAAAAAGATGGAGGAGTAGTTCTAAAGCAGTCTAAGTCTATGGAGGCTGTTCTGTTCTCTTGGTCTGAAAGAGACAGAAGAACAAAAGGGTAAACATTTGCCGCCTTGCACTGAGCCCCCTAATCCCCCATCCTTTCACCAGGAAGCTAGTTTGGCTGTTTCCCGAAATTAGAAAGCTTGATTGGCTTTCAACAGTTGCTGGATCCAGAAATTAGAGGGATCTGGTACCCCCCCCAAATCACCTCATACACACACAGACACACACCCCCACACACCCCCACACCCCCAACCTTATTCTCTTGACTATATTTTGTTTTAACAGATTTTAATACTGTACAGTGGTACCTCGGGTTAAGTACTTAATTCGTTCCGGAGGTCCGTTCTTAACCTGAAACTGTTCTTAACCTGAAGCACCACTTTAGCTAGTGGGGCCTCCCGCTGCCACCGCGCCACCAGAGCACAATTTCTGTTCCCATCCTGAAGCAAAGTTCTTAACCCGAGGTACTATTTCTGGGTTAGAGGAGTCTGTAACCTGAAACGTATGTAACTTGAAGCGTATGTAACCCGAGGTACCACTGTATTGTTGTCACCTGCCCTAATGGTCACCATTTCCAGCTGCTTTGTGCCCATGGAATCAAGGCATGCATTGGCTTGAAGGGAGTCCCTTTTTTTCCTAGCTTATTTGTGGGTTTGTGGCCCAGATTGCCTGTCTTTTCGTTGAATGGGTGTGTGTGCTGATGACTAAGAATAAAGAGGGGAAATTAGTGCCTCAGAGATTTCCAGTTGCCTTTTCTTTTTTAATCAGCTGAGAGGGCTGTTGCTGCATAGGACAAGTTTAGACTCTTGACTACAGGATGTATTTGCAACAAAACTACCAGTAGGCTAATGCACGTGCTTCCTTTCTCCAGCAGTGAGGCACTGCACTGCTTTCAACATGACTTGGAACCAGTTGTAATTTTCTCTATCCTTAAGGGTTTTTTCTTTTTTATAAAAAGAATATTTGCTTTACGCTTTTGCCAGAAAAAGCCTTTTGCCAGGCAAAGCCTTGAAGCTGCAAATCTTTTGTGTTAAAGTTGTATAATGTTCTCCTGCCTTGCTTTGTTTCTAAATCAACCAACAAGTGTGGCTCATGTATTTATCAGATCAAAACTCCAGTTAAAATAATAGAGAGGGGGATTGTTTGATCATTATTTTAGTTTAGTTTTAAGCCGGGAAAAAGAGGTCGAGGGAAGGCTGCTCCAATCAAAGAGTATAGTCAGATGAAATCAGCAAGTAGCCGTAGCACAAGCTGTGTGCAGCTCAGCAGCACTCTTGAAAGTAGGAGTTTGTTTTGTTTTTAAAAATCTGACCTGCTTTTTCTGAATGACACATATGTGGGAGAAGTGCTATTGAATCCCAGAGGCTTGAACACATTCCTGCTGCTTCCTTCGTACTGGTTAGTTTTAAGAAGACAAGTGTTTTTATAAGAAGCACAGAGGCAGAATGCAAATGCTCAGCAAATATCTCACTGCCTTGTCCAGCCAGTCCTGAGATCTAACAGCCACAGGACTAGAATGCTGCAATCTGGAAAAGGCAAGAATTGCTCTGCCTGTTTGACATTTGACATGGCTACTGGATTATTATTAGTTTAATCGAGCTTTGTATCTGTGATTTTTTTAAAAAAGTAAAGTAAAAGCCAGAACCAGCATTTTCATTCACATCTGCATGGCATGCAATGTATCCATGATCTAACAAAGCCCCCTCTCTTTAAATACAGTGGTACCTTGGGTTACAGACGCTTCAGGTTACCGCTAACCCAGAAATAGTACCTTGGGTTAAGAACTTTGCTTCAGGATGAGAACAGAAATCGCGCAGCGGCAGCAGGAGGCCCCATTAGCTAAAGTGGTACCTCAGGTTAAGAACAGTTTCAGGTTAAGAACGGACCTCCAGAACGAATTAAGTTCTTAACCCGAGGTACGAAACAATAGCATAAATTCTTAATTTCTGCTTCTTCGTAGTTTAAGGTTTTGTTGTTTTGTTTTCTTTTGTTTCAAGAAGGCTTCAGATGCTACTCTATGAATACAAGCATTCTTATTGTGCAACTACAATCTAGAGCTTATGCTGGTGGTTTAATTTTTAACTGAACTTCCTGCATTCCTTTCATACAAAATTGTTTGTAGAAGACAGGACTAGATGAACAGGAATTGCTACAGGGACTGACTGGGGGTGGGGAATGGGAAGGGCAAGAGAAATTTAGATTTACTCAGCTCCTGTACCGAACACAGTGCAAGGATCTTCTAGTGGCCCGACAATATTTATAGATTCTATTCTACCTCTCTTCGTATATTGTTTTAACTGGACCGTTCCTCTTATGTTGTCCCAAATTAACATAACAGTGCATTTTAAGGCCTTGTTATCTTTGCCTCTCTCTCACTAATTTTGCTGTTTCTCTCCACTCTCAACATTCAGAGTGCAAGCTTCATAAGAAAGGAACATGTGCTCTTTTTCTTTCATATGCAATGCTGTCATGTGCAATGCACACTGATGAGGTAATATTAATAGTTGTGTAATTAATAGTTGCATTCTTCCTACCCCAAGGAGACTGCACTTAATCTATGGGTGAGGCCTTGACAGTCTGATCACTCTTAAAGCTGGTGAATGGTGACCTACATTTCTTATATAGCTATGAAACTTACTGTAAACGATACAAGCCATGTTTGGGTGCTCACTCTCACATGATGTACGATGGTATGAGGGGCAAAGTGGGGCTTCCCCACTCATCCTGCCCCTACTGTCCCATTCCCACTACTTCTGTGTGAAGGGCACTGGAAGCCTTTGGCTGCTGCTGCTGCTGCTGCTGCTGCTCCTCCTCTGCTCCAGTCTCAGCAAGTCAAGTTGTGGCTGCACTGACAAGAGCATCAAGTTTCCACTCTGTAGGCCAGAGCTGGCTCGTGGGTCTGGGTATGTGTGAAAAAGAAGGTGTGTTCCAGCTGGCCCAGATCCAGGCAGCGAGTTGCGAGCACAGATCACACTGGGCGAGGAAAGAGGGGAGTGTAGCATATTCAGACCAATAACAAGCAAGGAGCTGAAGAATACTATGTACATACACTGGATTGTTTGATCTCTCTCTCTCTCTCCTCTCCCTTCCAACCATTGGAGACCGTGAAGCCTGTTGCTATGAGCCTGCTGCATTTGAAAATTAGCTCTTAGGGCAGGGCGGCGGCTTTATGGGAATTGGGAGTGGGAAAATAACCTAAGAGGTGGAAGCTTGGCTCTTCGCTAGGACTTTGGCTGGCAAATTCTAACTGAACATTGCAAGAGTAATCACTTCGCAGGTTCGTTTTAACAGGAAAAGAAGGCCTTCCCTGTTCCTCACACTCTGGTCAAATTCTTTCTTTTTTATGCTCTCTAGCTGTACACCATTAACATTTAGAGAGTGGGTTTTAAGTGTACTCCATCCACTCAGTCCTGGCAATTAAAAGCAAGCTGAAAGTGCAGAGTGCTTGAGAACAGGAGACCTGCTGAAATAGGCCCATCGAGTCCAGCATCCTGCCCTCACATGCATGACAAGAGCATAATGGCACTCTTGCCATTTGTGGTTCCTAGCAACTGGTGTTCAGGGACATACTGCCTCTCATGCCTGAGCTGCGTGACTAGTAGCCACTGACAGCTTTATCCTTCACGAATCTGTCCAGTTCCTTTATAAAGCGAATTCTGCCACTAAATCTAATACTAAATATAGGGTAGTGAATTTCATAGTTTACCTATGTGCTGCACGAAGCAGGACTTCCAACATGCAGCTTCATTGAATGGCCTTGTCTTCTAGTATTATATGAGCAGAGGAGTGGGCAAAAAATCTCTCTATCCACTTTCTCTACTTTTATACACTTTACTTGCATGAAAAATTACAAGGTGTTGTGTCCCTGTTGCTTCACTTGCCAACCCCCGCTGTCATGCCCCTGAGCTTTCCCTTCCCACCCCACACAACTGCAGAGCTCACTTCTCATCTTCCCAGTACCATTTCTAAAGCCTCTTCTATTATGCAGCTCCACTTTGCACCCATTTTCACCTTCATCCCATGCCAATGCCTTCCCCCTCATTTTGTGCAACCCCTCCTAGCACACAAACCGCATCCATGGTAACCTCCTGCATCTTCCTTCTCCCACAAATTGCAACTACTAAGCACCCTATTCTTGACCCTTTCGTGCCTCTGCTTTCATCTTCAACCCCATTCCAATGATTCCAAATCCCACCTTTTGGGCAACCTCCTTTGCACCCTAGTTTTCACCTTTACTCCTTCCCCCTCCCCCCGCACTCCTCCTAGCTTTTCTCAATTCTCCCTTGCACATAGTAAAGGTAAAGGGACCCCTGACCATCAGGTCCAGTCGTGACCGACTCTGGTGTTGCAGCGCTCATCTCGCTTTATTGGCCGAGGGAGCCGACGTACAGCTTCTGGGTCATGTGGCCAGCATGACTAAGCTGCTTCTGGCGAACCAGAGCAGTGCACGGAAACGCCGTTTACCTTCCCGCCGGAGCAGTACCTATTTATCTACTTGCACTTTGACGTGCTTTCAAACTGCTAGGTTGGCAGGAGCAGGGACTGAGCAACGGGAGCTCACCCCGTCACAGGGATTCGAACCGCCGACCTTCTGAACGGCAAGTCCTAGGCTCTGTGGTTTAACCCACAGCGCCACCTGCGTCCCCCCTTGCACATAGGTCAACCCTATTTCCATGCCTTATCACCTCTCCTATTGTGCGGTCTCTTTTGCATACACATGGACACCTTTATCACCTTTGCCCCCTTTTTCCTACCTTCTCCTTCTCCCTTTTTGCAATTTTTCCTTGCACACAGGCCATCACCCATTTCCATGTCCCCCTCCTATTCTACAGAGCCCATGCTGATACATACTAATTTATCTTTAAGATGAATAGAACATTATGAGCAAGTTAGAGAAGGCTAGGTTCGGCTGATGATGAATGTTGTACATATATTGGTGTTTGCTTGTTTGCTTCTAAATTACTGTATTGAAACTGGAACATCATGCTGAAGAGAACAAATAGTTTCAGGAGTGAAATATATTATGGAAATGTAGTACTCTGGACTGTTTGAGGGCTTTGCATCCTTTATCTCTTTCATATGAAGCAGCTGAGGAATAGAAGAAGGAGAAGCTCCAAACAGGCAATTTATTCCCTTTTAGTCCACCTCCCTTCTCACTGTTTTCAAATGCTGGCAGAAGTTTAAAAAAGAATTAAGAAGCTATTTAATCACCCCCCCCCCTTTAGGTTGCTTGAGCTCAAATCTGCTCAGATATTAGAGATGACTGCAGCCTTGTTTGTTTAGACTGGCTTTTAGTGCCCATTGATAAGGATAGAGTCAGTCTTCTGCATATGTGGAAAATCCAGGTAGTTGTCTCAGCTTCAGCCCCCTCCTTTTATTAAAGGGGTGTTGGCCTACTTTACAGAGTTATGGGAAGGATAACTTCAATATAGCTCTTCGTAAGCACCATGCATTTAATTCTGTTTACATCTTGCAGAGTCCATGTAAAAATTGGCATTAGTTTTGAGGAATTCACAGCCAAAACAAGAACTGTTCAGTAGGAAGGCTTCTTTAGGAAATCAGAACCAAAATAGGGATATAAAAAGAAACAGGAAATAGAATTCTAACCCACACTTAAAACCTAACCCAGGGGTCTGCAACCCGCGGCTCCGGAGCCGCATGTGGCTCTTTTACATCTTTGCCGCGGCTCTGGGGCGGATACTAGCGAGGGGAGGAGGCGCATTGTGCGCCCCGACACTCCTCACTGTGGTGGGTGCTGTACTGGCTGTGACGTCGCATGGGGGCGGTGCGTGTGTTAGTCATGCACCGTCCCGACGTCACCTTCCCGCCCGCTGTCAGATCGCGGCTCCGGAGATATATTTGTTTTAAATGTCGCAATGGTTTTGCGGCTCCCAGTTGTTGTTTTTTCTTCGGAAACGGGTCCAAGTGGCTCTTTTTGTCTTAAAGGTTGCAGACCCCTGACCTAACCCATTGACTTCAATATCAGAAGTCACAAACCAGAGCATACTACTTGTTCATACAATAAAAGACCATGGGTTAAATCCAGCCTTGCAACAGAGTAGAAGAGCTTCTGTTCAGAGAAGAAACTGGGATCCAGTGGAGGCTTCCCTCTGGAGGAAGGAGATGGGGTGGTCATTTTTGCTGATTCTCCCTTCAGTTGCAGCATTGCCTCACAGATTGTTCCACTGAGTTTTATTCTAGAGGAACAAGGAGCTGTAAGGGAAAGGAGGGATTGATGAAAATTGCTGCCCATCCCTTTACCAATGTCAATGGAACTAAGTCATGCTCCAATCTATCATCATCATCTTCATCATCAGGAGGAGGAGGAAATCAAAGAGAATAGATAAATAAATAATGGTTTGTTTTAACCCTGGTTTGTGCAACAAACCACGAGTTGTTTTACAGACTAGCAAACAAGCCAAGGCTTTTTTCACAAAAGCTTGGTTTGTTTCCCAGCTTCTCTAGTCTTATGTCTTTGTAGCTTTAGCAAGCATATGTGGCAAACAAATCATGGTTAAGCAAGACTATTATCAACTTGGTGAGTATCCATTCAACTCGGATAATACATGCATTAGTCTTAAAAGATTAGAAGGGTCAAGATGGGAAACGTTTTAAATGACTTTGCTCTTCAAGAGAGCTGCATTTTAGAGTCATTGCAACTACAAAATCATCATCATCATCATCATCATCATCATCTGCCCATTTGAATGGGTTGCCCCAGCCACTCTGGGCAGCTCCCAACAAAATATTAAAAACACAATCAAACATCATTAAAATATTCCCTATACATGGCTGCCTTCAGATGTCTTCTAAAAGTCAGGTAGTTGTTTATTTCCTTGACATCTGATGGGAGGGTTTTCCACAGGATGGGTGCCACTATAGAGAAGGCCCTCTACTTGGTTCCCTGTAACCTCACTTCTCGCAGTGAGGGAACTCCAAGAAGGCCCTTGGAGCTGGACCTCAGTGTCCGGGCTGAACTATGTGGGTAGAGACACTCCTTCAAGTATACAGGGCTGAGGCTGTTTAGGGCTTTAAAGGTCAGTGCCAACACTTTGAATTTTAGGAATCCATAATTATTTGTTTTAGAAGCAAACCATCTAAAATGTGGTGCAGACAAACCATTTTTTTGAACATTTTATGCTTTTGGTAGACTGCTGACTGTGTGTTGGGGGCTTTTGCAACAACTGTATAATTACACAAGAGAGAGCAAAGACCTCTGTATAGTAAAAAAAGGGAAGTCAGACTTCTGCCTTTCTTCACCACCTCAAAATTTTAAAAAAGTGTTTTGATTATTCTGCAACTGTAACATGATTTTCCAGTGGACCAAATGTGGCTTTAGGCAGAATTTTCTTTGATCATATAGCTCGCTTTGAATTCAGTGCATGGATAATTGAAAACTGAGAGTTATAAATTCTGCAACATGGTGCTCCAATGAGGAACTGACTTAAATCTACCAGAGGGTTTCATGCTTGAGCCATCTCTGCAGGGGCTGGCAACATCTAAAAGTAAATAAATAAAAAAAAAAAAGACTGCCCAAAGAGTATTAGGTTTATGGCAGTAAAAATACGCCTATGGTGTGCTGTAGGACACTGAGATCATTGCTGTTCTTTAGCACAACAACAACATTTCAGTTTGGCTTCTAAAACCTGCTCTATGCCACCATCTGGAGGGGAAAAATAAGCATAGCTCACACAACCCTATGTACAATAGGCCAACCTTCTGCCTCACTAGAAAAATACCATATATCATCCCTCTCTAACTTGGCCTCCTCTCAGTTGTTTTGGATTACAGTCTTCATCTGTGCTGGCTGGGGTTGATGGGAGTTGCAGTCTTAGAGATCTGGAAGATACCAGATTGGGGAAGTCTGCCATATATGAACATCCGCAGTTGTATCTAAACATGTATTTACATCCTGTACTATGCCCACAAATAAAAGTAGCTTATTTATATAGTGTGCACATGTGGTTAGGGGGGGGGAATAAATTGGGTGCTAGATAAATGCTATTAAAAAGCAGGTGGGGGAGAAGCAGATCCTCTTAATTCCTCCCTTTATCTTCTTTCTGCACCATGGGGATTGAAGAGTAGGAAAACAAAGCTAGAACAGAAAACACAGTAAAATCAGATAGCGAGGATCTGAATATATCAGGCACACTGCTTCTTTTGAGGCCTTGCACAAATTACTGTCTTGTAGCCTAGTTTATTTTATAGCACTTATGCAAGAATGACGATATACGGTAGCCTTGAGTGCTTGGAACAGAGTGAGAAATACCTAAATACAATTCTTTACCTGCTTCGATAGTGCCAAATGCCAGTAAATATAAGAGTGATTTCTCAGGCAGTGTGAAATCCTCCTGGTGTATATACCATTCAGCCATAACCCAGGATTCTTTGCATGATGCAGCTGCTGGGTAGATGGGAGCTTGTAAGAGAAGCCAATGAATTCATACACTTCCACTGTCACTTTGGAGGGAACTAAAAATAAGTCTTTTATCAATCTGTTAGAAAGCAGCAGATGATGGCTTGGCAATTGTGAGCCATATGCCTCTCCGAGCCTCCCATTCCATGTTGGAAGTGAATTAGCAATACAGTATAGCACTCTCTGAAGAATAAACTGGTGTAGGCTACTTTTCCTTACTTAATGACCATTAAAAAAAAAGAAAATTAATATAGCTGAGGTAAAATAAGTTTTTTAGATACAGTCGTACTTTGTTTTGCCAAAAAGGACGCAGGGCAAAGCGCCGCTCTGCGCATGCGCGAAGAGCAGTTTGCTCTTCTGTGCATGTGTCATTTAGTACTTCTGCGCATGTGCAAGCAGCAAACCCGGAAGTAACCTGTTCCGGTACGTCCATGGACGTTCTCCGAAATGGATGCTAGACAAGGCAGACGTTCATGGAGCTATTATTGTACTAGGCTGCTTCAAACAGTTATATTGGCTTACTAAACCATGCTTTACTAACCCAGGGACAGGAAGGGTGTCCATATGTTGCCACATCCTGTTCCCCTCACATATGGGCTTTGGCATTGAACATTGTTTGCATATAAACTGTAATTTTCCACCATACTCAAACCTGTAAACTTTGGTTTAAATGATCCACAATCCCAAACCAAAGCTGGCACAGAAAGTAAGAGATAAAAGAGTGTGCCCACATTACCTTGGTTTCACAACCAAGGCAGATTACCTTGGTTTCACAAACTGGAGTTTATCAAGTGGCAATCGTTACTTCTTAGCTGGCCCACTTTGTATTATCTAATTAAAATTGCCATTGGTTCTTTTTTCAGGGAACCATACTGTGCTTTATACATCTGTAAGGGATATTTAAGAATTTTCACATATGTGGTTAATAAGAATAGCTTCCCCCCAACTTCCCCCCAAGAATAGCAACTTCCCCCCCAAGCCAAGTGCTTAGAAAGGCATCTGGAGTACAACTTATTATTCACGATGATTTTTGTCCAAGATAGCCATCATTATCTGCTTTGAAACTGTTGTTTTGTTAGAATTTATGAAGTGTTCTTTTTCTATAGCAAGACTCAAAACACTGAAAATTAGGGAAGACAAAACGTAATTTCTTTCTTTATTGGTGCAATTGTATCTTGACCTACCCTACACAAATGTTAAATATATTTTGCCCTTCTCACTGGCTGCATTTAGAAGCAACTAGACTTGTCATTTCATCCGAATGTAGGATTTACTAACGATGGTCAGTTTTTTTAATCCAATTTCAACCGTGTGTTAAAACTGACATTAGTGAAAAACCATAATCCCGAGTCTGGATGAAAAGACAAGCTGAGTTTAAAGGAAACAGACTAAACACTGCTAAAAGTCTTCCTTCTTGGCTTGGGGAGAACAGCAGTTCACAGCTTCCTTCTGCTTGTTTGTGTAGAATTGTATTTTACGCATTAGCATTTTTAAAAAATGCCCATGGAGAACTTGCTGGAAGAAGGAGTACCATGCTGGAAATTGCTCTTCAGCCATTTAACTACATGTAAGCTGCAAGACATGATAAGTACAATATGCCTACAAAATTTCTAGGTAATAGTTCTGAACAGGAAGTGAAAAAATGTGTATCTGGAAATATGTGTTTTTAATAATGTCGTTGATGGTTTGTATTTCTTAAATCACTGTATGTTTTTGACAAGATATGTTGTTTAACGTTCCTTCCAATCTTTTTCTTTTCTTTTCTTTTTTCTTCTTTTTTTTGGTGTAGACCCTTTTCCTTCCCCCCCCCTTTATAATAGAATATTGTGTCTCATTATATGTAACTTTTAATGTGCAAATAAAAATTAAAGGGGGAAAAAAGAAAAAAGTGTGTCAGCTTCTTAATGATCACCCAATGAGCTTTGCTTTCTGAGGAGTCAGGATATGCCACCACTGGGTTCTCAAGCTTATTTTTGACTGGATTTCTCTCTTCCTTTCCATGGTCTTAGCCTTCAGCCGCCCCACCCACCCCACCCCCCTTCTCCATTGTTCACACTTAAGCAGTTTGAGAACTTTGACCTCCCTGTCTTCCATGTCCGCCCCAAGGCATTTTGGCACCCAAGGCAAATCACAAAATGGTGCCCCTCTCCCCACAAGAAAAGAAGGGATGAGTGAAGTTCTACCTGAGAAACAAAGGGGGGAGGGAGAATAAATATCTACATTTGGCTCTTCTGCTCCTATAGATCCTGCTGCGTAAGGCGGCCTCCACACCTGGCCTCATGGGTGGGCCAGTCCTGTCATCTTCAAATGTTTAGCTCCAATGCTGTCTCCTTGATGACTGAGCAGCTACCCTTTCTTAACACTGAAAGCATCCAACCACATGAAAAATCACACTAGTATCGCATGTAAGCAAGGACACACCTGGTTTAAATGCAAACAGCATTTGCTATCTTCCATACTGTGCACCTCCTTCTGCCACATCATTTTATTATTTGTTTTTAAAATTGCTTTTATTTTTTATCTATGTCATTTTAAACTGTGATTGATATTAATGCTGTATTCTTAGTTTTAGATTTTATGATTTATGTGGAAATTGTTTTCCATTTGGTTGTGTACTTTTGGATGTGTTTTATTTATTGCTTATGACTTTTGTTATGTTGGTAATTATGTAAATCTTGTCATGTTGTAAACCGTCTTGAGCATTGTTTTAACTATGGAAAGGCGGCATACAAATAAAATGATGATGATGATTTTGCCAGGGATGAATGTTCGGGGGAAAGAAAACTCCTGTGGAGGGTGGTTCATTACTCAAAACAGCACATCCACACAAATCCAATGAGATGACTAGTCATAGGCACATGCATTAAATTATCAATTTGTATTATTTAGATATACAATTATTTACATATTTGATGTTACTGATACAATTTTCACTTTGGAAAAAAATATAATTTACAGTTTTATTTTACAGCAGAAACTAGAAGTTTGGTTATGTAAAAACAGCCAATGTGGCAAGACAGCAAAGAATTCAGCATTATTTTCAGTTGGGAGCTGCTTATCCAACACAATGAAACTGATTTCAGCCTAAAAATGTGATCAACCCCCCCCCCCACTACCATCAATGACAATGCTCACATTTCAATAGTTTTGGACTGCAGTATAGTAGGCCAATCCTAAATATGTTTAACTTTATCCCAAGGAAGTCACACCAAGCTTTTTTTTTTGGGGGGGGGGGACTCGATCCCTGTAAAGTAATGGAATTGCAGTTTGTTTTTTGTCACTTGTCCTGCTCTGATGCATGTTGAACACATCAGAAAACAGCACATGCTCCAGTACAATTTGAATTGAATACCTTTGTCCTATTCTTCTCCACCACTTTAATTGCACTTGGACTTTAAATGTAATATCTAACATTGTAGAGGTTTAAGACCTTTGTGCATTTGCTCCTTAGCCAGTTTCTTACACTTACATGTTTTAGGAAGGTGTATCAATTTACACTGACATCTATCTGCTCTATGAACTGCTCCCAAATGTTACTTTCTGGTGTACACAGAATTGTAGAGTTGGAAGGGACCCTCTGCAATGCATGATATAAAAAAAACCTCTGCTTCCTAATATCTGTGGCATAGAGTCTTACATCCAAAAGAATGGTGGTAGGCATAGTAGATCTGGATGGACTCCACCTTTATAGTCCAGCTGACATTTTATTCTGGATTACTTTAATTTATTATTGCAACCAGGTAGAGTAAATGAATGCAGGCAAATCAAAGGAGATCTGCCTACAGCTTATGGCTCTTCTCAAACCAGAAACCTACTTTTCATAAAGATGCCCAACCTGTGCAAGGCCCAGATTTCATGGCACTTTGTGTTTAGCACCAATTTTCAAATAACTCGCAGAAGCATTTCTTGAGACGTCTTCCATTATCCCCGTTTTGAACGCCCAGTGTTCTCTGCATCACTGTTGTTTCACAGGGCCGCTGTATTCAGTGTTTTGCTTTAACTTTTCTTCTTGCATCTTTATGTTTCTTCCGACAATCCTGAAAATATTTCGAGTTCGTTATTCTAAGTTAACATTTTAAATACTGTCACTTTCACCAGCTAGCCTGCTCCATAACAGACAGGGAGAGACAACTGTTTGTAAAGTATTAGTAGGAATTATGCAAGTTTATTCTGTCCCTGGTTAAATTAGGATAGGCATCCACCACAGCTATTCAGCACGTCTGTTTAAGATAGCTTTCTGGAGCCATTGTAATGAGGGGTTCTAGATGGGTTTTGTGACCGTGATTATTCTGACAGATGTATATTGGTGCAGCAGTGGCCAAGGACCTGGCAAGCTGGATCTGGAGCCTAGGGGACCTAGTTTGGCCCTGAAACCCTTTCCACTAGCCCTCGAGCTCTGTCTGAAGCCCTGCCCTTCTTGTGCAATTGGACTTTCCCTCCCTTTCTTCCCCTTGCTTGCCCCTGTACTGCCGCCCTCTCAAATCTACTCCATGGGTTCCCCCAAATATCTGTAGCACATTTTTTGGAGAGGGGGAAGAGGAGAGGGAGAGGAACTTCCCTCTCTGCTTGCACAAATCATTAGATTCAACCCGCCATCCCTTTTAATTATAATAACCATGAATATAGTACAGATATACTGTACAATGAACTAGGGCATCGCTGGGAAACCTACAGCCCTCCAAGTGTTAGCAGACTACACCTCCCATAATCCATGCCCATCAGTTATGTTGTTTGGGACTGATAGGTGTTTGCCACCAACAACAGGGGCAGGTTTCCTGCCCCTGAATGAATTGGTCATAGTTCAACTGCATATTTTAGTTGAGTACAGTTAACGTGAACTGCATGACCGAGCTTGTGAAAATAACTTTACAAAAATGGGTCCAGGAGTCTTGTTATTTCCACAAGTATCTCTAAATCAGACCAATAATCTCTTCAGTCAACATACCTCAAGTAATGTCTGGCGCCGACTTTCCCAATCATCTCTGTCTTCATCAAGGTTAGCAGATTTACAGAACAGCTTTGGACCCTCTACAAAAGGCACAAAGAAGAACTCTAGTATTTTCTTTTAAATTATCTTGCATTCAGCAGGCGTACGAAGGGAGGAAGTTATCACTGTGAGACAGTGATCCCAACTCCTGCCTGAGATGAAATGCTTGATGGCTTTGATAGCTGAAGCCATGATAGTGTTTACTACCTCACATGCTGCTGTGGCCTATTTCCCCCCTCCCACTCCACTGCCTGCTACGTTAAGCATGAATTACATACTTGTAAAGGACAAAAGGTTATCTGTGCTGTCCACAGCCTGAGAAAATCACATGCTGTTCTCAGCCATATGGCGTTCCCCAAACTGCGCTTGTTCTTTAAAAACCACGTTGTCAGCAACAAAACATACTAAAAACACCAGGGAGGAGAGATCGCAATCTAACACCATCCTGGGGAGGGGGGAATGGCAACTCCTGCCCAAGCTAAAGCATATTGCTTTAAAATCACATCTTATGAGTTCAGTGCTAATCAAGCTAACTTTCACTGCCAACTAACATATATTCTAATGTTCTTTGACAAGCATGTGAAAAGCAGCTTTAAAAAAATCAGAAGTTTAGAAGACCATAAACAAGGAAAAACCATGTGCATGGAAAGCATGACAGAACAATCTATGTTTTTAGAGGTCTATAATTTTACGGTAGTTTTGCTGGTTACTGAACTATCCAGCGGCCCTAAACGCTCTTTGCCACCCCTGCCTCCAATAGCTCCTCCTTTTCTTCCAGGCCTTCTCTGAGCACCTTCCCAGAGTAGCATCTAAGGCAAGCCTTTTCCAAGGGAAGGACTGATGGCAGCAAGGTGTGTTGGAAGCAACTGTTTGAAGGGGCCATGCATGAGTTCAGACAGTGGTCACTACACTCTCTTGCTGGCTGTTCCTGAGGGAAAGGCACTGGCTCCCTTCCGTCAATGGTGTCAAACCCACCCTCAGCCTTTCCCAGGGGAAAGACTGGCAGAGATGGGAGTGTGCTAGCTTGGCTACTACTGGGCCCAGTGCCATCTAAGCATGCCCCACCTGCCAGCCTTTCTTGTTCCATTGTAGGAAAGGTTGCCTTTGGCAAGGGGTGCTGGTTTGGCCTGGTGTGTCTATGATGCGCCTGCAGGTTCTACCAAATCACTTCTGGCCTCCCTCCCAATTCTGAAGTGGCAGGCATCCCTACTCACTTCTGCAACTTCAAATATGGGAGGAGGGCTGGTCCCTCCTCATACTTGCCATTGTGAGCACAATGAGTCTAATTCTCAAAGCCTGACCATTCACAGTGTAAGGTAAAGGCTCACAGGCTGCTCCACTGAAACAAATTAAAAATATATATTAAAAACTTGAGTTGCATCTCCTCCTCAGTTGACTGTATTAAGGGTGCACCTGCTGCTGAACCCCCAATTCTGCCCCCCTGCCCTTTTTCCTGTTCATACACAATAACATGACGCTTTATCTTGAAATAAAGTTCAAAATATGGGCAGCAGAAAGGAAGATGACATCATAATAAATATGAACCTTAATGAACAGAAAACAGGGAAAGAGAAACTCTTTGGGTCTGCAAGTGACAACCCAAAGGAGGATCTCAGACAGTATTAGCAAAGACCATCTTGAGATTTATGGCCTAAGACTTTAACATCTACCCTGACACAATAGGCACCAATTCCAAGTTAAAGACAAAATATGAGTCCTTAGGAACTTCAAATTGTTAAATAGACTCAAGGCTGTGGAAAATAGGTCTGAATGTCAACCATGAAGTTTATTGTTTCCAATTCTTTATTTGATTCAGTAAAGAGTCTAAGGGGGAAAAACCTGACAGCTAAGCATGTATTTGTTACCAGTCTGTTTCCCTTTTCCTTTGTACCTACCTTTTAATCTATCATCATCTCGGGAGAAGAAGAAAAATCTAATATTAGACTGTGGCAGAGCTGGAGACCTAAAAAATGAACAAGAACATTATTAGTCCCCAAAAGGAACACATGAATAGTACATTCAACTTGAGGAACAAGGATACATTCTTAAAAGCATCATGCAACATTTTTAAAGCTTGCCCTGCCCTCCTTTCCTGAACACTGAGATGTTTCAAGGAAGGGCCTGCATATGGCACAAAGGGATGTGATGGAAGGGGCAAACCACCACAGTTTAGACAGGGGTTGAGAAGCCTGGCTGTGAGTGGTCTGGGGAATGTCTGATATTTGGGGCCTATATAGCCAACTGCTTTATGGATTCTCAATAAATATCATTTGTAAGGACCACCTACATTTCTTCGACATCTTCTCTTTCAACTTCTTCGGTCTCATCATCTTCTGAACTACTGTCCTGAAAACGTGGGTCCTCTTGCCATGCAACCCTGGAAGCCTTTATTGTTTCAATTACATAGGGTTCTGCAAAATAGACACAAGAAAGAATAGAGGATGGCAGCTTATGAAGAAAGCAGTCCAACATAGAAACTTCCCACCTGAAAGAATCTCATTCCCAAGCTATCCCACCCTTTCCCTGCAATATGCAGAGGAGTCATGCTCAGAATGCTGACCAACACAAGAGTTGCAAATACACATATGGGATTGTTGGCAGCAGAAGCTATCTTACTCTCTACGGATGTATTTTAGTGGACTTACAGTGTATCACCCCACAGGTTAAGGGTACCCAACAATCCAATTTTGGACCAAAAAAATATTTAAAAATTAATTTGAGGTTATCTCATAGGTATCTACACACAATTATTTTTTTGGAAGAAAATCTGAGTTGTGAGAGCACATGGCACCAGGCAATTTGGCGTGGAATGACCCACAATGGAACACGGGGATGGGTGCAGTCTCTTGGCTATGCTATGCTCAGACAGCTAAGGGCTCTATAGGTAATCACTAGCTCCTTGCATTATGCCTAGAAAGAAACAGGTAGCTCAAGCAGATGCTGCAATACTGGTGTAATAAGCTCCTAATGATTCATCCCCATCAAAAAGATGAGTCACAGTGTTTGGAATGAGCTCAAATCCCTAAGCCGCCATAAACGGAAGCCTTGGATCAGGCACCCCCAAACTCGGCCCTCCAGCTGTTTTGGGACTCCAACTCCCATCAGCCCTAGCTTACAGGACCAGTGGTCAAGGATAATGGGAATTGTAGTCCCAAAACAGCTGGAGGGCTGAGTTTGGGGATGCCTGCCTTGGATGAAGTGCTCCATGGTTGTCAGCTCTCAAAAGTTATGAGGCCATGAAAATGAGCTAAGTAACACTCTGCTTGCATGCTGAAGTTGCAGCCTTAGAACAGGCATTGGTACCTTCTTTCATTGGCGGCCTCTCCTCTTCAGCCCCAAAAAAGGAAAATTTGAAACCACTGGTTTCCTCTTCTCTGTCGGTTCCAGTGCTGAATCCTAATGTCTCTGCCTCAGCTGGAGTTGCTTCTCCCACATCCTCATGTTTATCCCAAGGTATTTGTTCTGTTTTCTCATCACACTTTGTAGATCCAAGTATCTCTTTCAAATCCACAGAAACATCATAAAATATTTCTTTAGACACCTCGGGCAGTTTCTGAGCTTCCTCCTTCTGCTTCTTCCTTTTAGCTTTACTGTAGGAATTAAGTGTGAGTGCATTTTAGTTTCTCATATTTTGCAGATTAATAATACACAGGTGATTTATGTATTGCCAAGAGCCTACGGCAGGGTAAATAGGAATGTAGCATTTTTCTCAACCCATTTACTTTGGAACATTCAGTGTGCAAAAGCCCTCAGTCTGGTTACTATTGCTTCACTAACTTTGGCTGTGTTTTCATATAGCAAGGGACTTGACATAAGTCATGCCCCATCTTTAGAAGCACCACACTGCTCCATTTCAGCATTTGATGGCTGGCCAGTCTTGGTTTTTTATATATATCACTGTCGCTCTCTAAGATCTAAAACAGGAGTCTGATGTTTCTGTAAGGCCTAGTTCACTAGGAAGCAACAGCTCTGAAATCACAGCTAGTCTATCCTGCGCCTTCTGTAAAGTTAGGCAAGTCCTTTTCTCCTGTTCCAGTTACTCATATAATAAAGCAAAGAGCACAAAGCTCATGAGGTTCCTATAGCATAGGATTTAAAGTGTCACACCAGGAAAGTGTTGAGAAGGAAAGCCTTAGGTGCTAAGTGAAAGACAAACAGATTCCTAGCAATGAGCAGTTGGTGGAATAAATTACCTTTCTTTCTCAGTGTTTTCTGGCTTCCTTTCAAATACAGCATGGTCTTCCCTTGTAGGGTCATAGCGCAGGGTGTTCATATCTCTATAAAAGAAAACGACTAAGTAAATCAAGATGTCATGAGCAAAGTTTAAAATTCCTCCAATGGCGCCAAGATTCCATTCTATGAAAATATTTATTTATAAACGTTTTTGTTGCTAAAACTAGATCTTGCTTGTTTTACTGTACAACTATCTATGGCAGTTCTAGCAGAGATGAATTGGATATATGCCAAAATATGCTCTTACATGCACTGCTTGAGAGTCCTGCATAGTATACTTGGGGCATTCACTTAGGACTAAAGTACGTCTCCTCTCTTTTCTAAAAGTACATGTGCATAAATCTATGATCCTATACGGGGGGTGGGGGGGGAGAGGAATCCTCTTGCTAACATCAGACCATCATTTAGCTGTTTTTCTAAGACCAGTCGAAGGCTAAACACAAGGCTGTAATAGTTTGATGCTGACTTATTTATCTTCCCCTTTTTTTTAATGATATTTATTAAAGGTTTAATAGTTACAGAAAAAAGAAAAAAGAAACAATAAAAAGTTAAAAAAACAAAACAATACCTTACAGTACATCAAAGATAAAAAGAAAAACAAAAAACAATACAGCAAAACTACCAAAAAAACCCAAAAACATTTAAAAAACACATCCAATATTTACGTATCTTTATCTTTCATTTACTTGTTTCATCGACCTCCTCACACCTCCCTTTTTTGTATTCTAGTTCAATTATTTATTTCAGCAAATCCTTCCCATCTTTCTCAATTTTTGTTCTATAATTTATCTTACCACAATCTGACCTTAAATTTTTCACTTTGGCCCATTAACAATCTGTTTTTACTTAATTCTTTATAACATTTCTGCTAAAACCATATAACTTCATTCCAGCATCCTTCAAACATTCATTAATTTTACAATATTTCTGTAAATATACTTTAAATTTTTTCCAATCTTCTTCCACCGATGACTTATTTATCTTCCCCGCAATGTCACCTCAGGAGATTTTTCATGCTATGATTTATGATGTAATTTTGGCTGAAGATGCCAAAATGGACTTTGACTATGTGAAGAATTCCGAGGCCTCAGTCTGGTGTATCAAAGGCCTGTCTATCTGCAGGTTCTCTCTCTCCTAGAGCAAGTGCCCACAGAGCTGTGGAGACTGACCTGAATTCTCCAAAAATATCTAGTGACTCTTTGGAAAATGTGTGAGAGGAAAAGGTACAGGTGTGCTTGTGTGAGTTCCACCTTTATGTATATTCTCTTCCCCTTCTTTTGCTGACTTCTTTGTACACTTGGGGCTTGTTTTCACTTTTCATTGTTTGCTTCTGTTATTTGTTCCTGTATTTCTGACCTCCTTCATTTTCTTATTCTTTTGACTCCCAACATTCCTTCTTCCTGCCCCCTTCCAAACTTGCTTCTGATCACTCCCCCTTTCTCTATTTCCCTTCAACCCCAATTCTTGATTTGATTGCTCCAATCCAAAATGATTTGGCACCAGTTTACAACCAACGTGGAATACAAGCAGACTTTTAGCCTATATTCCTGAAACAAAACATGATATGAACTTTTAACCTTCATAAAATAGTAGTATTCTTAGATACAGCTGATTTAGAAGCTCTGTTGCAATGACTGTGAACTCCTGTTATTCTAACTATTTCTGTAATGCACTAATTGGTCCACAGAAAATGGTATAGGCATTATCACTTAATAGATACAGCTATGAGATTGCTCATGTTCTTTATGATGTAAAAGAACTCCTGTATGTTTACTACCTTTGTAATCTCACTAACGGTACAGCAGTCCAAAATTCCGGTCACGTGGCCAGCGTGACAAGCTGCATCTGGCGAGCCAGCGCAGCACACGGAAACGCCGTTTACCTTCCCGCCAGTAAGCGGTCCCTATTTATCTACTTGCACCTGGGGGTGCTTTCGACCTGCTAGGTTGACAGGCGCTGGGACCGAGCAACGGGAGTGCACCCCGCCGCGGGGATTCGAACTGCCGACCTTTCGATCGGCAAGCCCTAGGCGCTGAGGCTTTTACCCACAGCGCCACCCGCGTCCCTATAGTGAGGTGGGTAAGACTTGTTAATTTGTTGCTGGATGAGCATTTTATACATTTTGTATTCATTGTTTCAATTTTTTGTTTTAAATTGCTTTTATGTGTCGCATTTTATCTTGATTAGTCACTTCAAGACTTTTTATTGTATATAACAACTGATAAAATTAATAATAATAACCAACCTCAAAGATGGCTACAAAATATTAACAAATAGGAGAAATTTGTGTTATTTTAGTGAGTTAATGTTACAATCACATTCCATAGGAAGAAAAAAACCCACTCTTTAGCAGCAGAAAGAAGTAGTTCTATTCTAAGCCAGGAAAACGGATGTTTTCACTTCACTTCCTTATACAGAAAGCTTCCTACAAACAGAAAACCATCTTAGGCTGAAAGGTTCTACTCAGGCCTTGGTCTGCTGTGATAGCCCTCTGCATTCAGGGAGTTATTAATGTGGGAGAACCATCAGCAATGTGAAAAGAAGTAGTACACCCCAACACTTCATTCCTCCTGTATGTGTAGAACAAGCCTTAGTTCATCTGATAAAAGAAAAACCCATACTTGAATTTCTTGGCATTTGCTGTCTGCTTGCGAGGTTTCGAAAGTTCTGCACCAATATTCAGAAGATTTTTCAAGATGTCAAGATTTCTCTTTTTTTCTAAAGTGAGCTCCTCCTCTTCATCTATTTCCACTTTTGATTCATCTAAGTGGAGAAAAAGTAACAACAATTAATGGAGCCTTAATTGCCAGCACCACCAAATGATATTGGTTGAATTCAAACATCACACCAAACCATGGTTTGTTTGTTTTTAGCATCCGAACCTATGCAGTGGGCTGCCAAATAGTGTGATATTAAATGGTGTGAAACTGCCATGCAATCCAGTTTAACCTAGCTGTTAACAAATTAACAAATCACTGACAAACCAATGTTATTGCCCAGCCTCAAGAGACTGTTATTACATCATGGCAATCCATGATCTTATGATAGCCTTAAAAAATTGCCTTGCCTCTTCCAAATGTGTAGATGTAGATCTACTGATATTCTGTCAGACGTGGCAAGTTTCCAAAGGATTGCAGGTGGCAGTGAAGACTATTCCTATACAATTGTAGTATATTCCTTTTCCCTTTTTCCATATCACTATGGCCACAGACACAGTATTTGTTAATTGCCTTTTAAAGCATTTAAGGTGAGCAGTAGTAAAGAAGGAACAATAAATATAACAAGGTTACAGCATATAAAATTGTTTTAATGAAGTTTTCTCTAGAGCAATCAACAGGAAAGCACCTAACCTTCTTGTTCACTGTCACTTTCAAGGAAGCGAGCATCCATACGAAATCTTTCATCTGTTCCAAATCGTGACTGTAAATGCATAAGCTGAAACAAAAGCAAACAGAAAGTTGGTACAGCATTCCTTCTTCCTGGTTTACAGCAGATGTTCATTCTACCAGAAAAATAACTACCAAACTTTTAGAAGACATCTAAAGTCAGCCCTGTTTAGGGAAGCATTTAATGTTTAATAGGTTATTGTATTTTGGTGTTTTGCTGGAAGCTGCTCAGAGTGGCTGGGGGGACCCAGCCAGATGGGCGGGGTATAAAATAATAATAATAATAATACCTTCAATAATTGCTATGTGGTTATAATGATGACTGTTATTCTGTGTACACACACACACACACACACAGAGAGAGAGAGAACGAACTGGCTTGTATTAACCCTAAGCCATATTATGACTTAGCATGAATAAGCAAGTGCTCTGGTGCACGTTTTTTAAAACTGTGGTTGCTTCACTTCTCCCTCTTACCTACTACTGCTGCGCTATGGGGAACTAAGCTGCAGTTTGGCTTAGTGTTGCATCCAAAACAGGGCTTCTGGTTTGTCTCCCCCCCAAAACCACCGGTGGTAAAGCAAGAACAAATCAGCTTAAGATTTGAAGCAAGCCTGAGTTTGCATGCAACACTAAACCAACCCATAGCTTATCTCTCAGCAGCAAAACCAGAGGAAGAACGAAGTGGAATGATTTTCTAAACATGCACTGTACTGTTTGCTTGCCCATGCTAAGCCAAAAGTTTGGGCTTAGTGTTATGTGCAAGCTAAACGAAGCATTTATAAGCATCCCGTTACAGCAGAGATGAGGCAGATTAGCAGACATGAAGGGACAGAAATACCATTTATTGTCAGAGACATATTAAATGTCAGGAAAATATTGCTATTTCTTAGGATAAAAAGTCATGAAAAGAACAATATTTATACCTATAAAGGGCTGATTGGAAGCCCTCTGTAAACATTCGCGTTTTTGGACTGTTTCGGAATATGCTTAGGCTAAAGTTCAGTTATAGGAATACATGAGGATGTTAAAGAAAAATGCAATAAGTAGATTTACTAACCTTCTCTCCAGCTTTACCCTCAAACTGAGGTTTGATTTTGAATCTGTCATCTTCTTCATCTGTTGTTTCCGATTCATCATCACTGCTCTCAAACAACTTTCCAGAGGTTTTAGTAGCAAATTCCTTGGGCAGAGTAACAAATACAGGATCTTAACCAGTTAATTCTAAAAACAATTCCTATAGCTTTAGCAAGTGTTCCACTAGTTTATCCAGGGGTAGGTGGGAAGAAACTACCAAGGCAAATAAACCACAGGTGCGCCTTTCCCAACTCAGATTTGCCCCTTGCCACCCTTTACCCATTCCAATTCAAATGAATGGAGGAAGCCACTCTATTACATTAAAAGAGTCAGGTAGAAAGCCTCTGCTTCCAAGCCCTTGGATTGATTCAGAAAACTTACTGATGTTCTTCTGATTTCCCCCCTGAAAAACTCCTGTAATTTGAGTTATTCCAAGGCGAGCTGTAGAAAGTTTGTCTATTCCTACTCAGGATAGTGGAAAGTGTCAGACATTTTACCATGTCTGTTTATTTGGGTCCAGTATCTAGGTTACCTGTACTCATTAATCATCCTTAAGAATTTGTTGTTGTTGCTCTAGATGTGTATCTCAGAAAAATTCAATAAATTTTGTCTGGGGCGGGGGTGAAAGTAGTGGAAGCATTCATTTTTCTAAAAAAAAGACCCCAGACATGTGTATGCTTATTTTTCTCTCCATAGTCGGCCATGCAAAATGCATGTTTAGAATTTTATAGCTATCGCTATGAATATGGCTGAATTTTGTAGTCCTCTCACTTTTCCCAGCAGCTGTCCTGAAGACCCTCCTGGTGTGCTCTCTTGTACTTCATCTTTATTTTCAGCTTCATCCTCTGAATCAAATACTATGTGCTTCTGTTTATTTGCTGACTGAGTTTCCTACAAAACCAGAGAGTGAATAATTATGAAGATGAAACATTAGCAGTACACAAAATATTCAACAGGGGAACAAAACAAACACTTGCACATATCTAGAGCAGTTGGACATGGAGCCAACCAGAGTAGTGGTAATAATAATAATAATAATAATAATAATAATACATTTTTATTTATACCCCACCCTTCCCGGTTCAGAAAACTGTGCTCAGGGCGGCTAACAACAAATTTAAAACACTTGATTGTAATACAACATAGAAGCAGCATGAAATACAGTATAAAAACATGAATAACAATAAAATTCAAAGATCAAAAATCAATTTGGGGGAAATCCATCCAATAAGCATTAGATAGTCACCAGGGCTAGCTGGCTGAATTAGTCCTACTTGGGCCAGCGAGGAGGCCAGGGGAGAATTAGCTGTGGGGTCTCATAGCGGGTAATCTTCATAAAAGGGGAGGGGGAGGGAAGAGAAGGGAAATAAAAGATCAGACGGAATTCAAATTAAAGGCCAGGCGGAATAGCTCTGTCTTACAGGCCCGATAGAAGGTTAAATCCTACAGGGCCCTAGTCTCCTGGGACACAGCATTCCACCAGGTCAGAGACATCACTGAAAAGGTCCTGCCCTGGTGGAGGATAGTCTGACTTCCTCAGGGCCCGGGACCTCTAAACTATGATTATTCATGGACCTTAAGGTCCTCTGCAGGGCCTGGTGACTCTGGACTTAATCTGAAGTGGCGTTGAGGTGCAAAATGTGAGCACTGTTGAACCACCTGGGAACAGGGACAGTTGAGCTATCATATTAGATATCCACCTAGACCTCCAAGAGAATCGAACACAGTGACATTTAATAGAGGAATAAATATATTATTAAACTTTTCTGAAGATAAAAATTAAAAATAAAACAAACAAAACAGATGCAGTGTGTAAGTTAACAAGCTTAAGACAGCTCAACAACTATACATACAGAAAATCTGAATACCGTATTGGCCCGAATATAAGCCGCACCCACAAATAAGCCCCACCTTTAAAATTCAAGGGGGTGTGTGTGAGACAATACCGGAATATAAGTCGCTCCCTTAAAATTGCTGCAGTTGGTAGAATTATAACTCGGAGCCAATTTAAGCCTTCGATCTTGCAAGCCCGCAAAAGTTACCATACAATGGCTAAAATCGCAAATTGCTATTCAATTGCTACAATTCTACAGGCACTCATACCCATAAATGGCAAATGAACAGTCTCAAGCTTGCAAATTGGCAGCGATATCATAAAAGCCTAATTTGTAAGGTCGTGAATTTAAGCCACACTTTCAACTTTTCATGGTTGGAATTTGGAAAAAAAGTGAGGCTTATATTCAGGCCAATATGGTACTTCCTTTCTCATATATATTTTTCTTTACAGGGTTTTCTCTGCAGGGTTTTTCTTTACTAGGTTTCAAAATTAATAAATATCTCAAAAGGTTCACAACTGAGAGTGTGTGTACAGTATTTACAAGGGTGGGGGAAATTATCCTTTACACTTGGATGGTAACACTTTCTGTCTATATTTTCTCAAACAGGTCCTTTATTTTCTGTCCGCTGATTGCCCTTAATTTTTGTGTTAATTTCTCTGAAAGAGCACACTACCAAATCTTTTGATACGATGGGTCAATATTTACACTCTGCAGTGTCTTCCAGTTTCGAGCTACCACTGCTCACATAGATGAGTAAATGACTTAACAGCTCTATATGAATATGATCTAAATTTCAATCCAAAATCATTAACAAGTCAGAGATGGCTGTATCTATTAATCAGTGATCTCACTGACCTCCTGGCATATCAGTTTCCAAAACACTTATACCTACTGACCATGCCACAGCTTCTCCAACATATAGGGGAAAGATTATGGTTTATCATGGATAACTTTCTTGGTGTCAAATACATTGATGTAATTTTTTCAATGACAGCTCCCTAGTAGTGGCAGATGTTGTTTCATATTATTATTTACTAATATGATTATTTCTTTATGTTTTTCTAAGGCATAATTATTAAATTGTGAAATTCAAGGTTTTATGACCACTTGCAGGAATCATTTTTTCAACCACTACCCCACTTCCCAAGTTCCACCCCAATAATATCATAATTTCTCCCATCATAATAAAAATATAAACATAAAAACTACCAGACTGGTTAACGCTCCCTGAATAAGTTTCCTCTGCAGTTCTCGTTCTTTTTGCCTCTCCTGTAGAGCAGTCAACCTTTTTTCATTATCCTGCAGCTGTTTTTCCTTTTTATCAGACGTGCTTGTAGCTTTGGCAGAATCCAGGACGGGCTCTTCACTTCTCGTGTTTTTACAGTGTGCAAAACTGGAACCTTTAATGCTCGTCTCTATCTTTGTTTCCTTGCAGAGAGATTTCAGATTTTTTGAGCTCTTTCTTTCAGACAGAACACTCACACCACTGCTTTCCACCTCGCTACTTTTTGCACTGAGTTTACTGTAGTCAGAATCTTCCCCTGATTTTAGAATACAAGCTCCCCTGAGAGAGTCCGGGCTATTTTCTTTTAACGATTTGCAGCTAAGTTTTTTGCTTGCAGAGCCGGAGCGCTGAGAAACACTTTGGGGAGCTTCCAGACCAACAAGGCCGGAAGAAGTCTGGTTTTCTTGACTGTCCTGTGTGCCCTTAGTCAGCTCTCGACTTAATGACCCTATTCCTCTGAAAGGCGGAACTTTCAAATTCAACTTCTTTCTCTTTGGATTCTCTTCATCAGAACTTCCTCCTTCTAAAATAGCAGAAATTATCTCTTCAGGAGAAATGCCTTTTTTCCGGGTGGTGATCTCTTTGGATTTCTTTGCAATATTGCCGGTACTGTTAACTGGAAATTCAGTACTTTTACACGGAGTGTTATTTTGGTTAATTGCAGTATCTTTATCTATAGTTTGGGTATTTTCACTGGCTAATCTTTCTAATTCTTCTAATGTAAGATCTAGCCGGTAACATCCTTGCATCATGGTTTCGTAATCTTCATCCCCTTCAGGCTCACTTGTGTCAAGATATGAATCGGAACTTTCACTGTCCCCAACCTTGCACTTATTACTGATGCTGTTCTGTTGAGCAGCAGCCTTTGAATCGGATGCTTTCTTAGGCTTTACTCTCCCCACGCTTTTCGGTTTATCCAATATTAAACCACTTGAGACAGAAGATCCGGAATTTGTAGCATGCATCTTAGGCTTGTCATCCTTTCCCTGCGTGACTGCCTTAGATTCCTTTGGAGCTTCCTTCTTCTCATTATTTGGTGTTCTAGTCACAGCTATAATTTCATCAGTGTCGGCCGAATCATAACCAGACTGATTGTCAGTGGTCCTCAGCACTCCATTACACCCGGTGGGCGCTTGCTTGGCATCTTGGGCTTCCTGTAAGGACCAATGAGTACGATATTTCAGCTTGAAATCCTCTCTGACAACTTCCATATTCTCTTCCTGTTCAGTATTGGGATTATCTTGACGCACTTCTCTCTCCCTTTCTATTATGGCTCGAATTTCTTCTTCAGAATCAATATCACTTTCAGACAGACGGTTTCTATTCCTGCAAGGTGTTGAAGCAGTTCCATGCTTCTGATGCACTGAGTGCTCTTTACTTTGCTTTTTGGTCTTGGGTGTGCGGCTTTGAACTAGTTTGCCTGGGGCCATGCTTGCTGTTTTTGATGAAAACTGACCATATGAATGCAATTCTGTCCGGCTCACACTGTCCCCATCCTGCACTCTCATTTTCTTTTTAGGTGGCTCATATGCAGGAAAGTGCCCTTGCCGTTTCTTGCTCATGCTGTCATCGCCTTCCTCCAAATGCCACGTGAGCTTGGAAATAGGAACCATCTCAGTAAGGTCTTGATCCAGTTTTTTAAGATTGTGACAATATTTGGAGGGGTCATATTTTATGGTGTAATTGCCTGAATTAAGGAAAAACAAATCGCTCTCTTGCACCAATTATAGATAGGTTTGCAACACTATCTGGCAGGAAAGAAAATGCTTATTAATGTGTCACTATGATTTAAGAATGGCTGGGAACAAACATATTAGAAAGAGTGAACATATGCTACATGTTGTCCAACTTAGTTCAGAAAATGTTTATAAAAACTGTTTGCCACATTCTTAAAACTATTCACTACCATTACTATGGATTAAATATTTTAATGGATTGTTCTTGTTTGGCTTCTTTTACTCTAGGCAAGAAGATATATGGCACAATTGGATTATCACATTGTAGATAGTGTTAATAACCGGGTAATGATAACCTGCCTCCATTTATAATAATTATAATTTATTATTTATACCCTACCCATCTGGGTGAGTTTCCCCAGCCACCCTGGGCAGCTCCCAATTGAGTGTTAAAAACAATACAGCATTAAATATTAAAAACTTCCCTAAACAGGGCTGTCTTCAGATGTCTTTTAAAAATAGGATAGCTGCTTATTTTCTTGACATCTGATGGGAGGACGTTCCACAGGGCGGGCGCCACTACCGAGAAGGCCCTTTAAGATCTACCCAGCCTTTAGGAAAGGATATATTGCTTCTGTGTTGACCTTTAAGATGGAGGATTGGTAAAACTCTGCCGAATTTGCCAACAACCCAGTCCTATTAAAGATAAAGAAAATACACCATTATTTTTTGGGGGGGAAATTAATACAATTACAAAGCAGCATTTAAATAAAATGGTAAACAGCTGTCTAGGCTTGGGGAAGCCCTCCAGATGTTGTAGTCCACAACATCTGGAGGGCACCATGTTGGTTATCCCTAGCTAGGCATTCAAATTTTATGTCTGCCATTGAATTCACCATACCTTGTGATTTGGTACTTCTGTTCCTGGTACTGCTTTCATGTGAAAATCTGTAAATCCAGATTTCTTCATAGATTCTAAGACATCTGTCATGCCATTTTGGCCTGGCTTTTCCTTCTTTATACTTGCCTCTTGACGCTCTCGTGCCAGTCTACATGGCAGCACACAATTACAGTTTTCCAGATTAAAAGAAAAGAAAACACAGATCTTGTAAACTTTCAAGATGGTTGCTTCTACTTACAGACACTGTAAACGTCCTAATAGTTTCAGTTCATGCAAATTCCTCCCTCCACACAAATGAAAGATCACATTCTACATTACAGTGCATTCCTAATACCAATTAATCAGCATCCACTAGGAAAAACAATATATATTCAATGCATTATTCATTTCTGTTGTGAGAGTAAGATTCACTTATATAATGAAGGATTACTGAAAATCATTTGATGCCTCATCCAACATTTTCACTGAAAGCTGTTTGTAAAATACTAAATATTACCTGTGCAAAAAGCTCTCTTTGGCCAATTCTATTTGTAGCGTCCCACCTTTCCATTTTGTCTTATTTAAAGCAGATACACCTTTATGAAAAGAAATAGAAACAGAATTATTAACTCATCCAGTATGCTAAGCAAGTCTCTTCAACAACTTCTAAAGCAGGGGTGGGGAACCAGGCATTGTTGGACTACAACTTACATCAGCTCCACCCACCAGGCTGGTTTGGTAGAGACAAGGTGAATATGGGAAATGAGGAACATAGGTTGAAGCACTATCCAGCCACATTGGCAAGATTATTGTGCCTGAATGATGGGAAAGAATGGAAGGATAGCTTGATAGTCAAGGTTGGAGAAGTTCTAGAGGAGTTAGGTGACAGAGGAAAAACTTGAATGCTTGGTGACTGATACTGATAGAAAGAGAACACATCAGTAAGGAATTTAGTGCAACTATGATCATAAGGACAGACAAACGCCACAAAGGATAGGTGTCTATGAATAAGAGGTGTAATTGCTTTTATTCAAAGGTTTGTTTCAAAGCGCTCCAATAGTACCTACCTGTGGGGCGATAGTAGAGTTTATCAGCATTACAAGGACACACACATGTACTTGCATTTTTACAAGTGGTTTGCCAAAAAATTAAGCAAAACACATTGATTATAGGTGAGTTAAGAATTAAAATAGCTGTGAATTTCAACACTTCTGCTAGCCACAGATTTCAGTGTCATAAGCTGGTTTGGCTTCTGGCATCTGGCAGACACTTAAAACACAGAACATTGCACTGCCAAAAAATACACCTATAGGTGATGTACTTACATTTTTTAAGTTCTTTTTCTGAAAGGGTGATGTTGATATAGGCAAATGTCTTTGTAGGGTTCCCTGTTGAAGAATGAAACTATGTTTACTCCAAAAAGGCACAATTAAAAAACTGCAGCATAAGGGCTGTTATTGCAGATCAGTTGTGACTTTAAAGAGTTTAAACATATTACCTTTTTCATCTTTCCGGGTCACAATTTCTGTCTCTGTCACATTTCCAAACTTGCCAAATCTTTCCTGCAGTTCAGTTTCAGAAATTGTATGGCCAAGTCCACCAACATATAGTCTCTTTATAACTGGTGCTTCCTCCATATTCAGAAATTCAGCAAACGTCCTGGGTCTTTTCTGTTTTAACCTTTCTGTAAAATAGCAGGTGTTTAACAATAGGAAAGTATATTTTATCATCAAAAGGGTTTTTAATATGAAATTAATTAAGGAGAGCACAGCCAGACCAAGGATAGGAAACAATGCACCTTCAGTGCTGCTTTGTTCAGTTTGTGGACTCAATTCTCATTGGTGTTGTTGTTTCAGCCCACAGCTGAAAAAGGTTGCTGACCCTGGCGTAGAAGTTTAAAATCCCAACTGCAAGCCACTGAGCCTGCTTTGAAGTGGCTTCCCCTCAAAGGGATACACTTCTGGTTTTACAAGGGTAACACACAACTCATTCTAATGTTTTGATCCATTTAGCACAGGTTAAAGGAAAAGAGACGCACAACACAGCTGTCACTATTTCACTTAAGAACTTAAAAAACCTCTAGCATGTTGAACCCTACTACAACCCAAACCCTACTTCTCCTGCAATCCTTTGCATATGTGCTTATCAGAATCAAACTGCAGTACTGTACATACTTTTAAACACATTTTCAAGTAAACCTCGCTGAAACCAACAGGGCTAAAAAGTTCATGGCTAGTCTGCAGGTGACCCCATCACCTCCGCCTGAGGAGACTGAGAGGAGATATGATAGCCACCTTCAAATAGTTAAAGGCATAGCTGTCAACGTTTCCCTTTTTTTAAAAGGGAAATTCCCTTATTCCGAATAGGATTCCTCACAAGAAAAGGGAAAAGTTGACAGTTATGGTTAAAGGGCTGTCACATGGAGACAGCTTATTTTCTCTTGCACCGGATGAGTAGATCGAAGAAAGGATATTCCAACTAAACATCAGGAAGAACTTTCTGACAGTAAGAGCTGTTCGGCAGTGGAACAGACTCCCGCATAAAGTGGTGGACTCTCCTTCCTTGGGGATTTTCAAGCAGAGTTTGGATTTTCAACCTGTCATGGATACTTTAGTTGAGATTCCTCCATTGCAGGGGGTTGTAAGAGATGACCCTCGGGGTCCCTACCAACTCCACAATTCTAGGATTCTCTCTGCGCTATTTTCCCTCCCCTACAGCCACCAGGCTCTGAGTGGGAATCAAGACCAGTGAAAAAAGGGGATATAAAGAGATCCGCTGCCTTTCCCCCACGCCCAGGACGAACAATCCCGACTGAGAAGAAAGAGGCTTCAGGGCTCACCCGCGGAGGACCTGCAACTTCGGGGTTCGCACTGGGACGTCACAGTCCCTCTCCCCCCGCCGCCACTCACAGCGTGGTCTCCGCGGGGTGCTCCTCGCTCACCTTTCCCCCTCGATCCACTTCCGCCGCGCGCTCCACAGCGTCACGTTCCGCGCCGCTACTAAACACATTGCATCCACTCTCCCCGACAGAATTAGCAGAGAAGCAAATTCCTGGGAAGCTGGGTTGCGGCAAACGACTCCCGTGTAGCTGTGATAAAGGGGAACCGTGACTGTCTGCCTGTTTCCTCTCACCCCGGCCAGATAGAGAGGCTTACATGGCCACCCTCTAGCAGCCTTTCTCAACCTGTGGGTCCCCAGATGTTGTTGAACTACAACTCCCATCACTCCTAGCTAGCAAGGCCAGAGCTCAGGGATGATGGGAGTTGTAGTCCAACAACGTCTGGGGAACTACAGGTTGAGAACCGCTACCTGAGCTCTTCTTGACGACCCTGCAGTCGGTGTTGTTTTTCCCGGGGTGGCAGAGGCGAGTAAGCATGAAAATACGCTTGCCATGGCTCTGAAATGTATAGCCCAGGGTTACAGTTCTGACTATGTCTTCTCAGAGGTAGGAGCCCAATGAATTCAATGGGGCTTAATCGTCTCTGGTCCGCGGAGTTAGGAACGCTCGAATACGCTGCAGTCACTTTGTTAAGTAGCTCTTGATTTAGGGGGGGGAAAAGGGGGGGGAGGTTGGTAATGGGAGGGCGCTGAAAGCTACCCGTTTTGTCCTTTTGTAGTTGTGGACGTTTTCCCACCTGAATCAATGAAAAATCTATACAAAACACAGCTTGGGTACCAAACGGCCACCTGAACCGCTCCCTCCAATGCTCGCCCAACAACCCAAAGCAGATGCTGCGCGCGTGTTCCCGTTTTAGAGCTCTGCACCGCTCTAAACTTTTCCTATCTCTACGTGCCATCCAAGCTCACTGTTTCCCAGCCGGACAAGTATACTCGGCAGACTTCTGGACTGAACTATCTGATCTTCCTCAAGAGGGAGAAAAGGAAGGTAGTGGGGTGTGTGAAAAAGAGGGCTATGGGCTGTTCCGCGGAAACTTTTTCTGTTCGCGGCAAGGCTCTTCGAAAGAGTCGTGGCGGGGTGTGGGGAGACCTAACCCAACCCCAGGGTTATGACGAAGCTTACTAGCCTCTTTATCTCTCCCCCCCCGCTTATTCTAAGCGATGGTAGCGTCTGAGACGCGCTTTGTTTGGCGGTTAGTTCAGATCTAACGCCTGGTCGGAGGAGCTCGAGCTCGGGCGGTTTTCGCGGCGGCGCGAGGGGTACGTTGCCTTCCTTACGTCAGCCTCGGGGCGGTGGTGCCAGGGGAGAGTTGCCAGGAGTTGCTGCTGAAGCAACGACGGGGGCCCCTGTTGCCTTTGGCGAGAGTGCCTCTGAGCCTGTGCCGTTCCCTGCCGCCTGGCCCTCCCCACCTTCGTAGCCGCGGCGGGTCTCCATGCCAAATGGCCCCACAGTTGAGGCCTGTGTGAGACGTTTTTGCCCCTGAGGGAAATTTTTGCCCCTGCCGGGGTGGGAGCTTCCATGCCGGCCTCCCCAGCGGCAAAGCGGAGCTTCTCCAGGGTCGGGTGATGGCATTTCTGCCGCCTGAGAGGACCGCTTCATGCCGCCTCATCTGGGGTCCAAGCCCTCCGTCAGCAACTATTTCTTGCCTCCGCCTCGAGTCCCTCAAAGCTCATGGCAGGGGCGGTGAGGTTAGTGTAATGCCTTGATGGCAAAGCACCGCATAAGAAAAACCCTTCGGGATGAAAACATTGGGGAAGCCTGGGACTCTTAGTAGGGCTTGCATTTGGTGGCCATAAAGGAAGCCCACCTCTGTCCCCATTAGACGTATATGTGTGCATACGTTGAAAAGCACATTTTGCTCTCTCCCCTGCCCTGTGTTTCTACCTTCATGATACTTAATGAGCAAAAAAAGAAAAAGAAAAAAGGACAAGTATGCCAAGACTGACAATAAAGAAATGTACTTGGCATGTGTGGTTTGGTATTTTAGACTCTCAGATCACAGCACTTGTATCTACATGGTACCTCAGGTTACATATGCTTCAGGTTACACACTCCGCTAACCCAGAAATAGTGCTTCAGGTTAAGAACTTTGCTTCAGGATGAGAACAGAAATCGTGATCCGGCGGTGCGGCAGCAGCAGGAAGCCCCATTAGCTAAAGTGGTGCTTCAGGTTAAGAACAGTTTCAGGTTAAAAACAGACCTCCGGAACAAATTAAGTACTTAACCCGAGGTACCACTGTATTTAATGTCACCGCACCACAGAATATATCCAATGATCTTGAGGGGATTCAGGACATCTTACATTTGGTTCAGGCAATCTAACTGCATGTTATAAACTTCTGGAATAGTTAAGCTGAATCTCATTCTTGCTTCTGACAACTAAGACGAGCTAACTACATGGATTGTACCCCAAAATTCAAATTCACTTACTTCAAATTAATTTCTTCATTAAGATATTAAGTGATAAACAATTAAAATCATGCCAACCTTAAAAAAGCTTTTAGGGATGATTACCAGAATGTCTGTTAAGAAAGCCAATGAATAAATGTTACTTTTTCCACTTAAGTTTGAAAATTTAACTTTAATTTTAATGACATTAATTTTTCGGGGGGATGGGGAACCCATTACTTACCAAACTGCTGTTTTCATTCTCTTTTCTGTAGGAAGCCTGGGGTGTGAAAAATGAATAATAATGATATTAAGATTTATGAAAATGAAATCCAGTCTTTGGAAGAAGAAATTAAGATGTTAACAGAAGAATATGAATGTAGTCTACATGGATCTTTTGCTTATTCTGACGGGGAGATAATGAAGGCTATGTATGCAAATCTATCTATCTATCTATCTATCTATCTAATTAGCCCAATCCATGTTTATTCATATGTAAAGCCAACTGAGTAATGTGCAGTTTGGGACTGATCCTTGAAGGGTCCTGAGTTTGGTTTGGACAGTAATGTAGAAAATTGCCTTTATCCTATATGCAGGCAATGTAAAACTGAACTTTTTTCTGTTACTCAAATGTAAAAGGGCATCTGTTACAGATATCTTAGTGGCAGCCAGTACATTAAGTGATTAGGAAGCTGATACTTTGAAATTGGAAATGACCTTTTGTTTCAACAATAGATGTGCTTTTACATGGTATCAGTTAGAAAAGGAAAATAAATATTAACACCAGTGTAAAGAACAGGTGGCTTTGAGTACTGTTGTGTACAACCTGCCTAATTATCGTATTTGTTAGATTTAAAACGAAAATGATTAGTTTGCTCATTTTTAACATAATGATATTGGTTTGTGGCTTATTGCAACAAGAACAACTTGTGTTCCTGTAGGCTTCCTCTTCCCCTCATGCATTTATCTTTGGCACTGATAGTTTCTTAAGCCACTGTTTCTTGCAACTTCCCAGATGAGAAATACATTAGTTTAAGGATTCACACACACACACAAAAACAACCAACAGAATATGAAACCAGGATATTCTGATTTGTTGGAAGTCCTAGATTTAATAATCTAGGATACTGGTGCCAAAGCCAAACTTGCAAGGAAAGGAAGAGAGAAGGGAGTGTCTGGGAACACAGTTCATTATTAATTGAATAAAATATGGCTTATTGGACCAAGTTCATTAAGTTTGAGCCAGTCCAGTGCAATGTAAGTCTAGTGCTATGTAAAACAATACTAGGGAGATGTGTATTGAAATACTTTACACAAAAAACTAGGCTATTTGCCAATATGTCAATGCTGGAAGTAGGCTTCTCATTTTCTTGCTGACAGCTGAAGTTTTTTTCTATCAGGAAATCATTTAAAGGAAAATCTCAAGAAAACTTAAGGCACTATGAATTTTCTCCAGACTTGAAAACTCAGCTTGACTTCTTAGAGTCTGATCTCTTCTTCATGATGAAATTTACAGGCATTTGCTTCACACATTGTTCTAGAAAACCTGTGGAGAAAAGTAAGTATTTTGACTCTTTGTGCCTCACCTATTCTTAATTTCTATAAGCTTCTGTCATATGTCATACCTTATCACATTTGAAAAGATCCTACAGCTGGGGTAGGATAACCTGTTGTCCAAATCCTCAAGCTGTAGTTTCCGTTTTCTGTATAGTCTTTAATTCTACATAAGATGTATTGGGACTGCATATCCTCATGATATCAGATAGGTGGAGGTATGGAGATGAGTGAAGGTTTACAGAGGAGAGGAAGAGGCCTAGTTAAATGAAAGCCCCCCCCTTCTGTTTTTCCTTTTGTATTTTAGAATCTGGGGATACTGGTCAGCCAACACTGGTTATACTGGTGGTGCTGACTAATGCCAGATCTGCCCAGAATAAAACATCTATCACCAAGCTGACTTGGTGTGTATAACAGACTCGGACTGATGAGCTTGGTGGCCATTTGCTAACCCAGGTGTGTTCACCTGTGTATTTGGTGCAACATCATTCCATGTCAGAGAGATTAACGGTGGGGAGGGGTTCGCCATAGTCCATAAAATCTTCGTCCCCTTTTCTAGGAGGAGACTGATGTGCATTGTCTGGGTTCAAGGGATTGTTTGTGTTATTGGGCCACAGAGACAGATCAGAGATGTTGTTAATGTACTGTTCATCCCAGTGTACTACAATCTCCCTGATCAAGCAGGTGTGAGTATTCTCGAAAATTATGTTGAATAGCTTTTTCAGAGTGGTCATGGGGGACTTCAGTATTCATACTAAGGCTGCCCAAGCAGGTGGGCTCTGGACATCATAGCCTCCATGACAATGACAGGGCTGTCTCAGTACATTGTTGGCCCAGCACATGTGGCTGGACATAACCTTGACGTGATCTTAGCCATTTCATTGATTAGGGAACTCACTGTGAGTCCGTTGTCAGTACAGATTGTTCCTTGGTGTGGTTTGGAATGAATGCGGCTACTTCACTCTATAGGGGTCCTCTAAATATTTTCTGGACTCTCAGCTCCCATCATCCCCAGCCAGCATAGTCAGGGAAGATGGCAGTTCAGAACAAGCAACACGTGGAGGGTCCACAAGTTCCTCCAGCCCAGCTTCAGACAATTGTAATCATGAACTGGTTGGTAGAATAAATATTTTATGTTAAATATGGCTAATTTTAATGTTATTACTTACTTTTTTAAAATGAATTAAACAGATATCAGTACCTTAATAAAGGTCTCTTTTTGTTTACTTTTGTGGTAGGTGGAACTAGAACTACACACAAATACAGGCTATCAGGAAATTGCCATTCAGTGTCCTTTCAGTTGGAATTTCAACTCATGGAAGAAAATCAGGCAAAGGAAGAAGACGTTCATATCAAACAGGTATATATTAGGAAGTCGGATTTTTCTTTGGCAACCATCTATATTTGGTCACAGCGTCACTTTGATTATTTTGGTAACTACTTTTCTAGAAAGCCTAGTAGCATTTTCCTTCAGCATGAAAGATAAAACATCAGTTTTCCTTGCTAATGATTAGTATTTGGTGTGCGCACGTGTGTTTCTAAAAAGAAAGCTCATTGCAATATTTAATTTAAAGCATTTATGTCACACTCTTCAGCTGAAATGGCATCCAGAGTGACTTATATAAGGTCACTAACAGATATGGCAGCACTGACTCTCAGGCCAACTATGTAAAGTGATGCAAAATGAAAAAGGGATGAAGAGGAAAGAAGAAAATTATAGAAACCTCTAGCACCAGTTCTTACAGTTAAAGTTCCGTAACACTAACCAACTTGCATGGAAGTACTGTAGTTGAAGAAGAGCCAAATTTAACTAGTCTCTGAGTAGAGTTGTTTGAGTCACCTTGGCATCCCATCTCTCCTTCTGATAGAATACAATGAATAGTACTGAGGGTTGTATTCAACTGACTTTTAGTATTGAAATTAATGAACCTATGCTAGTCATGATCATTAATTTCAATGGGTCTTCTCTGAGTAAGAGACTACATCCCTGAGTGTTTTATGTGTATTTAATTTAGAAACACATGAAAGATTAGTTCTTCTGATGACTTGTTCCATTTAAGAGCACAATCCTGTGTTTGCCTATTTAGAAGTAGGCTCCACTGAGTTCAGCTGTTTATTTCAGTGTGTACAGCAGAGGTTTTCAACCTTTTTGAGTCCACGGCTCCCTTAACCAACTACATTCTTTCTGCAGCACCCCTGGGGCTCAGGAGCCCAATTAAGTCACCCCTTGACTGAAGAGCTGGCAGCCTCTCACCCTTTTTTGAACACCCTCCCTTGTGAAGTATTCCCTCAGCCTCCTCCTCTCCTCTCCTCTCTCCTTGGAAGTCCTCCCAGGAGAAGTTGCTGCTGCTGTCCCTGGTCTCTGAGCTGACCATCCCCCCAAGAGAGGTTCCTCCGAGAGGCAACATTCACCTGAGGAGCTTATAGCCAGGGCTGCTGCGATAAGCAGCTGTCTAAATTGCCAGTAGATGGCAGCATTTTCCATCTTCTCATAATGACATAGTCATGAGCATCAAAATATAAATTACTATAGATTTGTCCTATTGTAATCTAAATGGGGTGTGATGGGAGGGTTGAGTTAGAACAAGTTAAAGGTAAAGGGAACCGCCAACCTTCTGATTGGCAAGCCCTAGGCTCTGTGGTTTAGACCACAGCGCCACCCGCATCCTTTTAGAACAAGGTAAATAAGTCTAAATTGCCAGTAGATGACAGCATTTTCCATCTTCTCATAATGACATAGTCATGAGCATCAAAATATAAATTACTATAGATTTGCCATTTGTATCTTTATTGAAAAATTGTTTCCTCTTTAGAAAAATATATGTACACCAGTGTTTCATAAACTAGCACTGAAACCCAGACTTCTATTTTATATTTTATAACGTAGGTCTAAAGTCTGTCATACTCACCTTGTTCACTTATCCCAGTAGGACAGACATTGTCTCACTGTGAGCATGCAAGTGGCTTCTGCTTCAACTCCCCACCCACTGCATGAGTGGGAATTGCAAACCATGATTTCTGGCTGATTTTGGGATGGTTTGGGATATAACACTAAACCAAGGATTGCTGTTTGCTGTTTCTGCTCCTGCTAGGGGAGCTGAATTGGAAGCCATCTGTTCATTCATGGTAAACTATTAACTGGTTGATTGTGATGCATGAACAAGGTGAGTATTGCAGATTATGTATTCTTCTGCTCTGAAATATACTATAAAGCTATATAGTATAAGAAATAGTCATTAAAACAGGAGCCTCTGTTTATGTGACATCCTAGGTTTCTTACAGAGAAACACCAAATTGTAATATACCTTGCAACCGTAGTTATTTTTTACACTTATAATTTAAATACAGCACAAAATAGCACTTTCCTGTAATTTACCTCTGCAACTGTAGCTGTGATAATCCTGCTTGGAATTGGTTAGTTGTCATGTGCAGCATTTGCCTTACAAAAAACATCTGCCCTCAGTGGGGCAGTTCAGTTGTAATGCTGGTGCTTTTTAAACTGTGGTTAGGTAATCAGTGCTAGGCAGTGGGGTAACATGCTTCCTCTAGAGTGAAATTATCTCCCACATTTAATTCTACATTAATGCTTATTATTAAGATTAGATAGTGTCCCCACTTAACCTAGATTTGTTAATCGATTCCAGACTCTAATCTCAAATCCTGATTAAAGAAGGAAACTGGCTAGTCTTACATCGGCATGAAGGTAACATTTATTCCAGGGTGACCAAGATGATCAAGGGTCTGTAAACCAAGCCTTATGAGGAATGGTTGAAGGAACTGGGTATGTTTAGCCTGGGAAAGAGGAGATATGATAGCCAAATATCTAAAGGGTTGTCACACGGAGGATGGAGCAAGCTTGTTTTCTCCTGTTGCAGAGGGTTGAATCCAAACCAATGGATTCAAGTTACAGGAAAGGAGATTTCAACTAAATATCAGGAAGAACTTTCTGATGGCATAGCTGTTCAACAGTGGAACAACCCCCCCCCCGAAGGTGGTGGACTCTCCTTCCTTGAAGGTTTTAAAGCAGAGATTGAATGGCTATCTGTCATGGATGCTTTAACTGAGATTCCTGCATTGCAAGAGGTTGAACTAGATGTCCCTCATGGTCCCTTCTAACTCTACAATTCTAAAAATTAAAAAGACTTGGAAAATAAAAAAATATTCACCTTGTGCTAAAAAGATCACAATGTAAGCAGAAGATGTGCCTTCTGGGAGGGCATTCAGCTATCCCTAAATATCCACCTGTAGATCTTTCATACAGTGGAATTGTAATAGTGTCTGTAGCTTTAGGTTGCTGCTGAAATGAAGTAATTTTTCTGTGAAAATTAAAAGATCAGAAATTGTTCACATGATGTCCATTATAAGTGGCAAACTGCCATTTGCAGCATGGTTGAGTTGATGTAATCTGTTGGTCTTTCCCTAAGACTTTTCCATTTACATCAATTACATGGAAATTCCATGAATTACTATTTGTGTCTTGCCAAGATCAGAGAACGAAGGAAAGTAAAAACAAGTAATAGGTTTTCCTTAAGTAAAATGAAAGCGGGTAGGAGTGCAGCAAAATGAAGGGAGTGAAAATGGTTGACTGTTTGCATGTTGCTGTTATATGTGTATTTGACATCCCTGGAAACCAGCTGTATGGGTGTTTTAGTGTGTTCTCCACATGTTGTGGAAACAATAGCATAAAACAAGAGATCAAATAAAAAACCCCAAACCTTTAGTTTTTAAGGTATGTGATATCCATAAGTTCATCTAAAGAATCTTGCTGAAGTGTTTTAGGATAATCAGTTCTAGAACATTGTAATATCTCATGACCATCATGGTTAGCAGCTCTTGATAGCCTTATCCATGGGTAGGCAAACCAAGGCCCGCGGGCCGGATCAGGCCCAATTGCCTTCTGGATCCGTCCCGTGGACGGTCTGGGAATCGCCACTTGGATCTCCAACACACGCGTTCTTTCCCTCTCCCTCCCTCTCCCTCACACAGTGGCGGTACCTCCTCCCTCCCTCCTCCTGGCTTCTCCCCGCCCTGTCTAGAGGAGGAAGGGGGCTGGGCTTTGTTGGTGCCAGCAGCAGCACTCGAGCGGCTGCCATTTTAAGCAGCCCCTGTCTGGAGCCCCTTTGCCAGTAAATTTTTTAACTTGTTCACTTATCTCCTAAAATGTCCATTTCTTTGTATGGCTTCAGTTATTCTATATTTTTAAGAATGGACTTGTGGTAGCTCATGAATGCTTTGCACTGCTTTGGGGATATAAATCTAAAATAAAATCTCTTTTCCTCAAGAACTAGGACGTTGCATTTGTCATTTTCTCTTTCAACCACAAGATGGCACTTGGATATAAATATGTAACTTCAGCTTCTGAAGATTTTAGTTTGCCTAAAATATTTCACCCTTGCTAAGTTTTGCTCTTCAGAGTGCACATGGAAGCTTTTCAGACAGCAGTAGTTTACTTCTGTGCTAATGTTAACTTGGGTACTGGTTTTGTATTACTGCTTTGGTAGGTAGCAAGCTACTACTGTTCCTTTGTCTCAGAGCATCCACTTTGCATTCAAAAGGCCCCAGATTCAACTCCTGACAGGAATGGAAAGGCCCCCCATCTGAAACCCTGAAGAGCTGCTGCCAGTCAGAGTAGAGTATACTGAACCAGTGGAGCAGTAGTCTGACTTAGTATAGGGCTGCTTCCTATGTTTCTAAAAGCAGTGGCTGTTCCATAGTTCTTCACAAAATAAAGTCACAGTAGATCAAAAATTCTTCCCAACTATTATTTCTACTTGGAAGGATACATTCTAGCCCTGAGCCAAAAATGCCATCTCTTAAAAGCATCCCAGAGGAAACAGCAGTAATCATTGCCAGATCTTCCAAGAGTAGTTTAACACTTGTCAAATGCACACTTTACAGTGGTAGAAGGGTAAGCCAGCAGTATAGTGCAAGTTTGACACCTTCTGTATTACTACAGAAGTAGAGAACCCTATTCTTGGCCTCCTTGGCATCAGCAGCATGACTGACTCATGTGCCTTCAGATCTTAGTTTTCCCTAATGTTGAAGAGAATTTGGAGTAGCCTTAACTCATGCAGAGATCAACATAGGACATCCAAATTTCTGCCAAATTGCAGTTTCTCTTAATGGTCACCTTTCATTGATTTATTATGTACTATATATAGAAAAAATCATTGTAATTTGATCATATTTTAGTCCTATATTTGAGTATTTTTTACTTATTTTATCTATTAATAAAACATTTTCTTTTTTCTGAACCAGTGTAACAAAAATGTTTCAGCTATTGTTACGGACCTTAGCATTGTGATAGAATCTGACGAATATTTGGATTTAAGCAAGCTTGTATCAAGGTAAGACTTCTACTAATATATAGAGCAGGGGTCTGCAACCTTTAAGACAAAAAGAGCCACTTGGACCCGTTTCCGAAGGGGGAAAAAACTGGGAGCCGCAAAACCATTGCGACATTTAAAACAAATATATCTCCAGAGCCGCGATCTGACAGCGGGCGGGAAGGTGACGTCAGGACGGTGCGTGACTAACGCACGCACCGCCCCCATGTGACGTCACAGCCAGTACAGCGCCCGCCACAGTGGGGAGTGTCGGGGCGCACAATGCGCCTCCTCCCCTCGCTAGTATCTGCCCCGGAGCCGCAGCAAATGTGTAAAAGAGCCACATGCAGCTCCGGAGCCGCGGGTTGCAGACCCCTGATATAGAGGAATATCTTTCTTTGCTTTGGACAATGTCAGTTACACACAACATATAGTATGTTCCAAGTCCCACTGAGTTCAGTGAGACATTCAGCTATGTGGTAAAGTAAGGCAATGAATCCTTTTTAGCCCAAGGGGTAACTTTTATTCCCTTGAAGGTAATTTTCCAGGGGCCATATGTCAGTGGTTGGTGGGGCCAGCATCAACAGATGTGGCTCATAGTTTAGCAGACTACATACCAGTGGTGCATCTATACACCTATCCATTCAGGTAACAAAAAGGCACTATCACAGTCAAAGGACACATTCCACCCAGGGAAAAGCATTTCACACTGGGTAGGTGACTGACTTGGCCTGGGGAGAGGATGTATGGCCTAGGGAGAGTCCTGAGGGTGGGATAGGAAGGGCTACATTCAGCCCCTGGGCTTGATGTCCCTCACCCACATGTGGTATAAAATTGCTCTCTTAATTAAGTTGCTGGCATATATGGTTATACAAGATAATACAGCTTTTATGTTTGAGAATGAACTACCTTATTCTAAAGGTGCACCAATCTGTGATTTGGGAATCACTCACCCGCAGTGTCTCTGCCTTAGGTTCAGCTTCAGTCTATCAGCCCTTGTCCAGCCCACCACTGCTGCCAGGCACGGGTTCAGCTTGTGCCTAGCCGCTCCTGACTCAGTTTTAATGGAGAAACAGTCTTGGTGGCATCAGCACAGTGATGACATTGTACCCCAGACTTCCCAGTGACTGCTCCCAATGGCTTCATACTGATGCTAAACAACCCTGGAAACAAACCCTGGAAATAAAGAGTGCTTTGTGGTATCCTGCAACTATGTTGCCAGATTGTAGACACATAGTTTCCCAATGCTATGCTCTGAGACATGTCATGCAAGTATGTATCTGTCATATGCTGAAGGGGCACCTTTTTATCTTGGCCTTTGACAGCTGAGATACATATTTTCAGTATCCACCCTATTTGTTGACTGTAATTTGTTTTAAACTGATATTTAAGAGGAGGAGAGGTCAAACTGAGTATGTATTGATTTACATGTGATTATTGGAAAACTGAAAACTTAATAATAATAATAATAATATTTTTTTAAATTGCTGAAATGCACCCTGGAAACTTATAGGTGAAGGGCACATAAGAAATTAGCTAAACAATAATATGTAAGAGCAAAACCACCATAAAACAGTGCCTCCAATCCCCAACTCACAGAGATGGTCCAGGAGGATACCATGGTCAGTGGTATGAAAGTTTGCTGAGACTTATAACAGGAGCAGCAGGATTTCAGTTCCCCATCGCTACTGAAGAAAAGGTCATTTGTCAGGGCAACCAAGGCCAAGTCTGGGACAAAACCAGGCCTGAACCCAAACTGGAATGTGTCCAGATAGTTTCCTCTAAAAGTACCTGAAGCTGAATTGCTACCACACTCACAAATACTTTATATGTAAGATGTTCATAGGTTAGAGAACTTATCACATGAGTTTTTAAACTCTTGTTTCCTTACCCTTTAAAATAAATGCAGAAATGGGGGTTGTGACAGTCAAATAGGAGGTTTGTGTAGGGAAATCAAGTGTTAGAAATATGATTTAGTCCTGGTCCAGTGAATTGTGGGGAATCACTATGGGCATGTTTCTAGAAGCAATTCTTAGAATCACTAAAGCATCCCTTGCCTTTGAGAATTGCTACTCAAAATACACTTGAGGAAGGCTTTCTCCCCCCCTCCCCCAGTAACAACAGCAGGCTTGGAATAAATAATATTTACAGCGCATAGTTCCCCCCTCCTTTCCCTTTCAAATCAAACCAAATGGAAGTCAAAAGCATACACAAAACCCTCAATATGGCTATTTTTATTTTTTTAACTGTTTAGATCCTTTAGAAACATGCTTGGCTGCAAAACCAAGGTAAAGATAAATGAAAAAAATAAGCTTAGCATTTTTGCAATACATAAATGTAGGTTTTCTTGTCAGGATTTCTATTTCAGCATGTGGTATTTCCCAGAGCCTAACTGATCTTGAATTTCTCTGCCTGTTGCAGTACAGTTGACTCTTTCCCTTCATCTGTGGAAATAGGCAATGGCATCTCAGAAGTTCTGCCCATTTCTGAGAGCAATATAAAAAGTGGCAGCCAATGTTTAGTGTAATCTGTTGTATGGGTCACACAAAGTGATTTACTGTGTTTATTTTATGCAGTAACAGTTTTCATACGTATATAGTGCCCATTGATATTTAGCAAACCGGACTGGGTTTACTTTGGCATACCAGCTCTTGCCTAACATATTTGATGTGGCACATTCACCAAAATAACGATGGGAAAGAGTTTCCCCAAAAAATATTATAAGCGAGTGTTTGGCTTTCATGCTAGATTTGATTGTTATATCATCATCACAGAACTAACTCATTGTGTAATTATTTCAAAAGCTGCTTTCTTGATGCAGTATGAAGCATTTAAACTTGACTTTTGCCTACCAGCCAACTGAAATTTGAGTCCATCAGTAGTGTGCCAGAAGTGAGTATTAAATCACATCTGGATCCAATTAAGCACTGAAAGACTCTTACATTTGTAGGTAGTGGAGGAGGGTAAAACATGAAGCATTTTTTGCCATAACTGGAAGGGTCACTGCTTCCGACCCCCACCCCCACCCCAGTATGGGTGCAAAAACGTAATCATGCTTTGGTACTCTAAAAACCTTTTTTTTTTTTTGTAAGACTTAATGTAGAATCCAACAATTCTGAAACATTTCCTTGTTCAACATCATTAAAAGTTATCACACATAGCTTGTGGTTCATAAGCTGTTGTTTTTTGCATGTGTTACAATTTTCTTTTAACGACTTCATTTTCATGTGACTGTAAACAGTGGTTTAGCATGACTTGCACAATTTGCAGTGAGCCTTGGGCTTGTATGTTCCCACCTCTCACATGGCTGAATAACTTCAGAAGCATTTTCTTTTTTGTTCACCTTAATCAATTTCAGGAGTTGCTGATGGGACTCATTAGATTAATCCTGCCCAGAGTTTGTTGGTGATGGTAGGGCTTGCAAACTTGTGCTTTTAACATGTATTCCTTGTTAGATATGAGTAAAAGTGCCTGTGGTCTCTTCCCTGCCTTTCCACTCCATCATTGCTGCTGGAAGCTTGACAATCATGAGATGGTAGGGAATGGAGCTGCCGGGCAGAGTGAGTAGGGTGTGTGAGGTCTGTGAAAGTGTCAGTGACAGTTTCTTAACCAAGCAAGCAGATTAATTTTCAGCAACTCTTCACTTGTATCTGTGTAGGCGAATGTGCAGCATTCGTGGAGCAATGCAACAAACTAGAATTAAGCCAGGATATGGAACATAGATGTAATTACAAATCACAGTTAACGCAAACTGAGTTTTACAAAGCAACTGCAAACTGTAATCTACAGTACTGGTTTGATGGTCCCAAACTATGGTTTCAGATGTACAAACAAATTATAGTTAAGCTAAACAAACTATGGATTAGCATTGCATCCAAATCAGAACTAAGCCTCTCAAATCTGTTTAAAACAGCACAACAAATCACCCTAAACAGAAGATACACAAAAGGATGTGGTATTTGGTTTGAACAGCTTTAGCAAGTTATTTCCAACAGAGGGCCTAAAGAAAATCTAATCATGTTCTAAATATTTTTTAAAAAATTATAAATGAATTTTTGTAAGGGGTATGGAAATATTTTTTTAATGGCATAATGTTGTTTTCTAGAGTTGAAGAGAGTGGGAATCTCTTGCTGTTCTTCAAATGCCTCTCCTATTTCACTGAGTGGTGTGATCATCGGAAACGCACTTTGACCCATTTCAAGGTAGTGTTTTGAAAAGTTATGCTTTCTTTTAAACCTTCCTTTTTCTCTGTTAACCAGCTTCATTATGGAACAAGAGTAAACTGAATGACATTGGTTTTTGAAATATGGCTTAATTTAATGGTACTGCAAGTTTTGGGGAAAATTTAAATTCATGGTTGTTTGGTTCTGTGCTATTTTAAAAATCTCAGTCCCTCAAAAATAATGTTTTATGATTGTGTGGACTGCCGAGTTGAAACTTTTCACTGTCTTGTCTATTGAGGTTCTGGGAGAGTCAAGAGCATTGTGTGGTTGGTAGGCTGACAAGACTCCTCATCTAAGTCTGAACTGTTAGTCACAGATTCCGAGTCTGGTAACTCTGGAATTGTCATAGAAGAGGACTGGGGACTGGGTCACAACAATTTGAGGATTCCCCCAATATGCCTATTGAGGGAAGGGGAGAAGGGTTTAGTGGAGAGCAAATAAAGGGTTCAATTTGTCTGTCATAGGATGTAGTAGAAGGAGTGGCAAATCATAGAACGTAAAACTGAGGAAGATGCTGTGATCAAATAAATATTCAATCTACCTGGCTGTAGGTGGAGATTGAAAGTGCTCAAAAAGGGAAAGTATTGAGGTAATAAAATGGAAGTGAGGTTTGGTGCCATTGCCCAACCACATATTTTGCCAAAGACAAACTATGTATTACCATCTTTGCCCAGTCACAGAAGACCATTTACTTACAAAGGAATAGTGAAGTATGTCCTCTTTCTTTCTTTTTCTTTCTGATGATTTGTATTATTATTAGACATGTTTTAGTCAATAGAGTTTTAGTCAATAGGTAATACACACAAACTAAAAGCAAACAGTAATCTCTAAAGATTTTGCCATGTAAATGAGATTGGATACATAGTACAATTAAAGCAGCAGAGCTAGAGCAGAGCTTAATAGTTGTAAAAATCTTCAATGTTAGTAAATAATTAAATCAGAAAAGAGCATATCTGGTATGAAAAAAAGAGCACGCAGATCAGAATTTACTGATAAAGAAGGTACTTCTGAAGAAGTCTTCAGCTGACATGCACAAAGTTGGACCATTATATTCAAACCAGCCCAAATGACTTCTGTTTTGAGATAAGGGTTTAAACTCTGGCTGATCACAACACAGGTACCACAATCTAAAAATAGTCATGTGGTGGCTTGAGGAGAGTGATATATTAAATACAATAAAAATTCACAGTTATTGCTTATTCTTGCTGCAAAGTACTATGCATGATTGGGTAGAATCAAGTTCCACAGAGCTCAATAGGACTAACTTAGAATTGTGCATAAGATTGTGGTTGTCTGTAAATACCTATTTGAATTGTATAGGACTGTACTTAATATTACCAAAATGGATGCATTTCCCTTCTAAGTACATTGACAGCTTAAAGAGTGTCAATAAGGTGCATTATGAATTGTTCAGTTATTAATATTCTTCAGGGTTTTACAGAAAATGAGTAATTGTTTCTTGGTAACAGTGTTCAATGCAGAGACTATGTTGCATGGTATCTTTTAAGCAATATTAATATTGCCAAGCATGAGTTTCAGGTGCTGACTATTTCTGCTTCAGAAATCTAACCAACTCAATCTGACTGGTCTCATTCACATGATGAAATCCTGGCTTAATAACCTAGGATTTGTATGAGGTTCATGCACCTTTACACAGACCCTTTGCTTTCTCTTCACACTTCCGTTTCTGTGAGTGGAAAAGCAAACTAAGAAGTTGCCAACTTTAAACAATGGGAATCTATTTGTAGGTCTGCTACTGATTAAAGATGAAAAGCTGTTTGTTGCCTCCATTTTATCCCCAATATATTGTGTCCTACTTTGCCATTAGACAAAAAACTGGTGTCTTAAATCCAGCTACATTATGTTTGCTAGAAAATAACAAAAGTTTATTCTGCTTCAGCAGAGTCTGTCTCATTTCTCCCATGTTGTGCATTATGTGTTTCCTATATAAAACACATTAGACTGGTCACATGAGAATGCTACCCCTTCTCTCTACATCAGCTGATTATTCTCCACACAGTGTTAAAGCATTTTTTAAAAATTTCTTTATTCTTTTGAAATACAGGCAACCCCCCATTTATGTGGGGGTTACGTTCCGAGGTACTGCACGTGTCAGTGAAATAGTGCATATTTGAAACACAGTTGAAAACAAAAGCCTGCAAACACCCTGTTCCCCACCTCCTCCCCATTCAGCCCCTTTTTGTGATGTTTTTGGGCCACTTTCGGGTTCAGCGTGATGTGCATTTACATCGTCATGCACATATTGAATGCACATAGATGGGGCATTGCCTGTAGATTGGTTCCCTTGTAAAAAGAATACGTTACTGGTTTTATATTTGAGTCTAAGTTCTAGAAATAAAAAAGGCTCAGGCTTATTAAATCAGAACGTGCAATTTCACCAAGTTAAGGTAGAAGTTATAACGGCTAAAAGTGTTGAATATACATATGTGAAGATATTAACATGGAAAGACAAATTGAAACCGTGATAAAATGGTAATCTTTACCTACTTTTTACCATTTTCAGTTTTGTTAATAATTAAAAGTATGTGCCTATAGGCAAGGTTCTCAGGCACATAAAAGCATTGGGATACTTTCCCAAGATGACTGGGTTGCCATCCATTCTTATGATATCCATGCGTTGCCGAACGTAACGGGTCTGATTGTTCCCTTTGCAGAATGTTTCATCTGTGATGCTGGTTATGTTGTTGAACTGCAAATCAAAACAGTGAACTTGAAAAATCTGAAGATCCAACACTAGTTAAAAGATATACTAGTTTGATGTTTTCTTTCATTGAAATCCTATTCAATACATCTCTCGATAGCACTATAATGATTTCTGTTATACATATGTACATTGTATATAGGACATGGTTTTTCGAAACTCCTTACACTAATGTTTGGCTCTTCCTATACAACATTGCTTGTCTATTGCATAGTATACTGCCCTGAAAATTTCTACTTTAGATGAAGAAAAATAAAACTTGCAGATTCCTATAGATTACAAATGGGAGTCCCTACGCTACAGTAACATATCCCTTCAGAAGAATCTGTAAGTTACCAGAGAACAGTATTCTTTATTGGGCAGGTTGCTGTTTCCCTTGCTTAGACTTTCAGTGCACAGCTTCTGTTATATTTTATTTATTAACTTAATTTATAAACCACCTTTCTGATGAAGTATTTTAAAATACAAAAATGAAACAAAAAAATGTAAAGCTGAGTTCTCTTGGGCCATTGGTAGTATGTGTGTACACACACACACACACACACACACACACACAAATATTTCTTTGTGCAACAGCAACAAAATATTTTCAGACCTGAAGATTCAGAGTACGCAGGCTCTCTGGCAAGTTAAGTGGGACAGACTCGAGTAAATTGTGTCCTAGGTCGAGAAATGACAAGTTGGTCAACTTCTGTAAAAGAGAAACAGAAAAGGAGGGGAAAAGAAACTGTTTTACAAGCAGTTTAAACAAGATAATTGGTTACTAATTGGATCTATTGATAGGGATTGGGCTATTCAGTTGCGTTGAAAGATGTTTGAAGCCTGTAGTACAGTATAAATAAAAATACTACTTAATCTAAAAAGAATAACACATTTTTAAAAAAGTTATCTCCTTCAGTTCTTTTGGACCAACACCAATATGATAGATGCTGTAGATGGGGAGAGAGGAGCATGGAAAAGAATCAAAGATTCCACTGGGCATATATAAGCCATTCAGCATGCCAAAATTAATGAATTAAATCCCACCTTATTTATGCTACTTTACCTGTTCCTCTTTGAATAACATTAATTCTGAACAACTTGTTTTTGGATATTTTGAGCAAAAAATGGTGAAATGCTATGTAGCATGGTGGGCTGCTATGTTAAGAAACAAGCTTGAGCAGAGGCTTGACAACCATATGTCAGGAGTGCTCTGATGGTGTTTCCTGCTTGGCAGGGGGTTGGACTCGATGGCCCTTGTGGTCTATTCCAACTCTATGATTCTATGATTCTAAGCTGACAGCCTTCTTGGGGATGCAAAACTAGTTGTATGGTCCTTTGGATTGGGATTCCATGCAATATTGTATTGAAGAAGTAGAAAAGCTTCCCAAAGCATAAACTATAAACTACAGGACAAATCTGGGGTATAGTTCTTAGATAGTCTGAAGAGCTAAACCACAAGATTGGGTTCGGATGACGTGCACACACCAGGCCATGGCTCACTATAGCACAGCAGCAAAACAACTGAGGAGGAGCCAAGTGGCCAGGATGTCCTCTCATAGAGCGTACATATTGCACTAAGCCATGGTTTGGCTTAGCGCGACATAGGAATCAATTGTAATAATAAATTTTATTACCTTAAAAGCATTTGCTTTAATTCCTCTGCTTTTAATAAAGTTGTTGTTTGCTTTGAGTGAAGTTAGCTTTGGAGGCAAAGTTGGAAGCTTGGCAAGTCTATTATCAGCAAGTGAAAGTTCTTCTAATAATACTAGTTTTGCAAAGGTCCCATCTTCAATATCTTGTATCATATTTCCAGTCAAATCTATTCTTTTCAGTGTGGCTAAAAAGAAGAAAGAAAGAAAAGATAGGCTCTGATGCTTTTCGTAAGCAATCACCTGCTAAGCCCCTAGTAAAGTGTTGCTGCATAATAGGCTGTGCTGTGCAGCCTGGTTATGGAGTCCTGGGTATTGCGCTGATAATTTTTCTCCTTGGGAGAGCTTCAAATAAACTAAGCTTGCCTTCAATGTCCTCCAATGTTCTTCCTTTACAGTGGCAGCACCAATTGTAAATGTCTAATTAATTCTTTTAAGCACTAGCCTGGTAACCACAGATGACCCGGAATTTCATGCAACTGAGTGAGCAGACTATTGCAAGGGAGTGCTCATTCCTCTTCTGTGCACGTGGGCTGTCAGCGAAGAGAAGCCCCCCACCACTACACTCAGTAATAAAAGTGCACAAACAGGCTCACCTCCTCAGCTGTTATCTCTCTTTCACCACTTATCAAATGATTGCTCTGCAGCCCTCTCAGGAGCTGGGTGCTTGGCTCAGTAGGAAGGTTTTAAACCACAGCACTAAAGCTACTTTATTTTTTTTAATCCCTTTTTGCTGAGATTTTGGCATTTGATCAGGCCGCTCAAGGGTACCCAGTGTCTGCTTCCTGCCAGCTTACACAATGTTGTCCTGCTAATCTATGAGCATGTATTCTTTTTTGGTCTTCCTCCTAGAGTAGCACTGTGTTCAACTTACAGAAAGGAGTTCTAGGATTAATCCTTTCTCATTCAGTGGGCATTGTTCAAGGATAGTACTATGCTGTTTTATCTTATTTCTAGGGTTGTCATTGATGAAGAAATATTAAATTAATTAATAAATTAAATACTTAATTAACCATACATGTATATGCATATGAAGAAAATGGTACTGCTGAAGATTAAAATGTTCTTTAGTTGTTATCTAGGTCTGACTTTGTGGCCACAGGACTCATATAAAGAGATAGTCCCTTGTGTGGGAAAGGATTGCTTCTTCCAGGATGGTGATTCATACAATACCTGTGGTTATTTATCTGAAAAAATAAGTTTTAAAAATAAGAATAATAAATGAATTGAACTTAAAAAGAATAGAGTGATCTTGGTCAGTGTTTATTTGTTTACTAATATAGATGGTTGCAATTACAATATTATGAATGAGATGTAATTCACCTTCAGTAGTAGTAGTATATGGACATGAATTTAAAGGTAATGAAATGTATTTTTAATGTTTTACCAAAACTTTTAGTATAGTCAAGAAGTACGGTATGTAGTTTTAAATCAAGTATATACTTACGAATTTCAGCAAAATCAGATACTTTCAGCTTCTTGATTTTGTTGAAACGTGCATAAAGATAGCCAGTTTCTTTTGGCAGAGCTGGAACACTTTCCATATCTGTTTCTTCACAGTAAACTGAACCACTTAAACAAACACACAGCAGACAAGTAGCCAAATCTGAAATAAGATAATTTTGTTTCTGTGTAAGTGGAATGTTGGACGGTTGATTGTCTGTCAGTCCTAGTGGCACACTTTATGGGGCGTAAATGCTATATTCAAATAGTCTTACGTGTATTTTGCAGACATTAGGATATGGAAACATTTTTTTACTCACATCACATGAGGCCTTCTGACAGCTTTGAATTTAGTGTCAGTCAACAGAATTTTTTACATAGCACTTTATTCAAACAGACTTGACCTAGTAAATTTTAGAATTTAGATTTCTAAAACATAGAAACTTACCATATCTTGTAAATTTGAGATAATGTACGTATTCTTTCTAAAATGTTTTCAGCTCCATGTCTTATTGTTGTATGGGTTGAAAAATACAGATAGGTGAAAGGATAACAAATGTAGGTTAACTAGAATTCCAGGTTTAATAGTCAGATCATGAGAAATAGTCTCTATTTTCTTTTTCTTTGCTTTAATTGTAATATTTCTCAAACTTTAGGATATTGGAATGAAATTTGATATGACAGATGGGTTCAATCCTCCTCATTTGTTTTTATGGAGAGGAATTTACTCACTTCACTATTGCCTACAGAGGTACTTCTAGTTACGAACTTCATTCATTCCGGAGGTCCGTTCTTAACTTGAAACTGTTCTTAACTAGAGGCGTGCTTTCACTAATGGGGCCTCTTGCTGCCACTGTGCCGCTGGCATATGATTTCCATTCTCATCCTGGGGCAAAGTTCTCAACTCGAGGTAACTCTTCCAGGTTAGTGGAGTTTGTAACCTGACGCGTTTGTAACCTGAGGCATTTTTACTCGAGGTACCACTGTATTTTTGTTCTCCATCCCCTGTTCTTCTAACACTGAGAAACCTTAGTCAAGATTCTGAAGCAGCTAGACCCAACATTGATTGATCACATATTGCCAGCACTAACACTGTAGTGGAGAGGTGAGATCTGTTGCTGAGCTTTCTGCTTTCTCTGGCATCATTTTTGTCTGGGAAAATGCAACTCTGTGATATCTGTGAGCATGTACTTGCTGTCTAGGCTTATAAAAAAAGTACAATTTTTAAAGCCTGGAGTATGTGAGTGTGCATGCACACAGCTGCCAAAACATGCTTCTCTGACTAGAAGCATTAGAAATAGGGGAGAAGGGGAGACCAGTGCATCTTGCACTTTGTGGTTCAACCAGGGCAATCATTACTTGCTCCAAGCAAGTGGCAAGTTGAATTCTGATGCTTATGTCAGTGTGCATAATTTCTCACATTTTTGGTAACTATTTTGTTTGTTTGTTTTAAGGTTGATATTATACTGTAATGTGGTAAAATCTTACCTGTTAAATTTGTTGATCCCTCATTAAGTATCTCTTCATCTCTCTGCATTTGCAGTTCATTTTCATGGAAAAGGAACATATCATTGCTTTCCTTATATGTAGGAAGTTATAAAAACACATGCAGGGATTAATATATTATTATTCAATAGTGGTGGTAAAACCTTTAAAAGTTAATAAACCACATTGTCTGGAACATTTCCTGGAGCACTGGAAACAATCTAGTTTAAAACACACACACCAAAATCTAACGTTCAGCAGTACTTCTGGGATAGGGTAACTTCATGTGACACCTCATGTTGAATACAGACAGTTAAATTAAGCAATACTTTGTTATTTCCATTTGCTAGTGGGCAGATCAGATGTCATGTTCCTGGCCCAACAACCATGATTTATTGGATCAGGCATGCACCGCGTGTGAGCTTCTTTCCCTGGCACACCTAGCTTAATACAATATAACCTAGCTGGTAGTTTGCTGTGATGACTGAACTGGGAGGTTGTGGGTTTAATGCTCCCTGTAATGGTAAAGAGACCCCTGACCATTAGGTCCAGTCGTGGCAGACTCTGGGGTTGCGGCGCTCACCTCGCTTTATTGGCCAAGGGAGCCGGCGTACAGCTTCCGGGTCATGTGGCCAGCATGACTAAGCCGCTTCTGGCGATCCAGAACAGCGCACGGAAACGCCATTTACCTTCCCACCTATTTATCTACTTGCACTTTGACGTGCTTTCAAACTGCTAGGTTGGCAGGAGCAGGGAACGAGCAATGGGAGCTCACCCCGTCGCGGGGATTCGAACCGCCGACCTTCTGATCAGTAAGTCCTAGGCTCTGTGGTTTAACCCACAGCGCCACCCGTGTCCCAGTGCTCCCTGTAACTGGGATCAAACCATGGTTACCAATTCTGAATTGCAGTGAACACTCAGACTAATAAGAAGTGGGATGGTGTGTGGAGGCAGTGGCAGGCTGGATGTGGGCCAGCAAAGGTGTTGTATGTTCCAATTTCTTGAGTCCAAGAGGTGAACACAGCTTGTTCTGGACAGGATTGCACTCCACTGGAAGGAGCAGGTTGATAGCTTGGGGGTACTCCTGGCTCCAGCACTGTTACTTGAGGCCTAAGTGACCTCCGTGGCTAGGAATGCCTATTTCCAGCTCTGGCTTGTTTGCCAGCTATGGCCCTGTTTGGACAGAGGTGACTTGGCCACAGTACTCAGTGCTCTGATAACTTCCAGGTTAGATTATTACAGTGCACTCTGGAGCTGCCCTTTAAGATGACTTAGAAACTTGTATTGCTTCAGAATGCAACAGCCAGAATACTGGCTGGGGCTGCCTTTACTACCCATATATAACCCCTGTTCTAAAACAGCTGCATTGGCTGCTAATTCTTTTCTGGGCCCAATTTAAGGTGCTTCCGCTAGTATTTAAAGCCCTAAACAATTTAGACCTCAAATTATCTGAAAGGCCTCCCTCATTCCCTACAGACCCTCCCCAGTGTTAATATTAGCAGAGGGGGCCCTCTTGGTAGTTCCATCAGAATTTTGGAATTTCAGAATCCTGCCCTGGGATCTGTTGGGAAAATGAAATGAGGGAATAAAAGCCTCTCAGATACCACAATAACACTCTGAAGCTGGACAAACAACTGATTGTGTTTTGCTCCATATCATCAGCATTATAGTTGAGACAACTACTGGGACTGAGCTGACCATCCTTTTTGCAACTCCATATTGCTCAGCCATCAAGCAGGATCACCCCTCATCACATCAACTGGGTCCTCTGACCTTTCATTTATTGTTTAAGTATATGAAACATTTATAAACTGCTTAATACAGGCAGTGGCCATTTTAGATGTGACTGATATGTGTGTGACTGTGTACATGTGCATTACACTGAACCTGGAAGCGACCCAATCACAAAAAGGAACAGGGACAGAACAGGGTGTTTGCCGGCTTTTTCAGTGGTGTTTCTAATACATGTGATTTCACTTAAACGTGCAGTGTCTTGGAACGTAACCTCCACGTAAATTGGGAGTTGCCTTATTTAAAAATCTCAGAGCAGCATGACTATGGATAGTTACAGCTATTTCTGTACAACAGTGATGTTTCTGGGATTTTCTTGTGCCTTCAGTTTTTGTGCATTTCCTCAGGAGGATGTCACTGCCCATAGATTGGCGATGGGGCTGCAGCGGAACAATTGCCATATGGGGGGCTTCCTGGCTCCAAGGGGTACTAGTTAAGATGTCTATGTTACCCCAGCATTGAGAGCAGCATGCCTCTGAAAACCAGTTGCTTGTAAGCTTCCCATAGGCATCTTGTTGGCCCTTGGAGAATAGAATGTTGGACAAACTAGATCTTCAGGAGGGTTTTCCTTATGTAGTCATGTTTGGAAGGGACATGGAATGGTGGAGGGATCCAACAGGTGACTTAATTTAATTAACTGTAAACTTGTGAGCAGGGTTTTGTTCTACTGGGTCTTTTTTCTTTCAGGCTGTTTTATAAATAATTATAAATCATACCCCCCATCAAGGTATGCAAATGTGCCACCAAGTTTGGGTATTGCTGCTTTGATGTTGTTTCTGTTCATGAATTAAAAGACAGGGAAATCATAAATGGTATTAAAATATGAGGTGACAAACTATTGTGCCACTTGCAAAAATTCAGGTAAATGTATGGAATATATGAGAAGAGCTTAAGTCTTTTATGCACTTAAATGTTCATTGAGTTAATTTTGTTGTTCATATCCTGTTTTAATATTATGAATAGAAAAGCAATTTGTCTTTGTTTTAATACCCTTCAGTTGTAACCCCTGTTATTTGGTTCTCTTTTAAGTGAAACATTAGCTTCTCCCCATTTAGTACTCTAATCACTTTGGCTGCCCTTCTTTAACCCCCTTCTCACTTCTTCTTTTCACTATTAAATGTATTACTCATCCTTCACTGAAGGACCCAGGGTGGATTATAGCAATCTCAAACATCATTAAACGCATCTTACATTACATGGACTAGTTTTGCATAAAACAAATTTGCAAGATAAGTACTATAAACTGAAGTTCATCTTACTGAAGCGCCATCTACTGGTGCAAAGCAGAGTTTACTATACTTAAAATGTTACACTTTCTCCTTTTTAGGTAAACAATTTTAAAAATAGTAAATAGACATCTTTAAGGAATAAACAGTTAAGAACTTAATACATATGCAGATAATGTAATAATTAAATTGTCACCATCTGTGACAGTTGGTTAGAGCATGGTGCTAATAACGCCAAGGTTTCAGGTTTGATCCACCTATGGGACAACTGCATATTCCTGCATTGCAGGGGGTTGGGCTAGATGATCATCAGGGTCCCTTCCAACTCTGTGATTCTATGAATACTGCTGTCCTGGATGAGTTGCACTTCCCTTGAAAGAACAAGTAGGCAGTATGGGAGTGTTTTTGGCTCCAGCTTTGTCACATGCCCAACCGCAACAACAACATTAATGCTAAAACCTTAAATTTCTTTTTGGCATTGGCCCTGAACATCATGTAATGAGGCTTTGATCCACCATAGGTTTTGTGCATATGTGTACTACATTCTAGACAATATAATTTTAAATACTGATTTATTTATTATTTGTACTTGTAGCCCACCCATCACTGAATGGTCACAGGGCAGGTATTTAATACTATTGAATAGGGCAGGACATTGTGAATGCATTAAATGTAGTGGCAATTTATAAGGCTTGTTAAGGTACAATGCTCTGTTTTGGTTTGAATAATTGAGGATTGTACTGTATAGCTGTTTATCACTTATATAATGCACAAAGTTCCTTATAATATATATTAATGTTGCTCTCATAAAATAGGCCACTGTTAAACCTATTTTACACAAAAGGGATTGGGGGTTGGGATAAGCCTAAGACTTGTCTAGACCAGAAAATGAGTTCATGATAGATCAATGGACCACACTTGATTTTTTGTATATCAGTGCAGAATGGTCACTCTTTATGATAATGTAACAGATAACTGGTAAACTGTACTTTAGAAATAAAAGGGGAAGAAAGTCATGCATTAAGGCAAACATGGGCTCACACCCATTGTTTGTGGCCCACATAGGTATGTCACATTGCCCATTCCTATGTGCCCAAACAGTTCCACTATGATAAAGGAACAAAATAAAACAATTGTGTGTAACTATATTATGGTTTTATTTTGGCTAACTTTACATTATCCTTATTTTTTTCCACTTGTTTTCATAATTACCCATGGAACATGCTTGCATGCATAGATGAACACAGAACTTGTCAAATACCTTATTTTTTACTGCATCCTGTGGCTTGTCTTCATAATCCTCCTTAAATATTATGTCTTCATAACTTTGCTTAAATATCGTCTCTTCAAGAGTGGCCAAACCAGGGTCATAAAATGTGGCTGAGTGTTGTTTAGGTGGTGCCAACTTCACCAAGGGCAACAAAAAATAAAAGAAGAGACCAAATTTCTGCAAAGTCTTCATTTTGAGAGGCTGAGGCTTGTATTGAGCTGGAAGGACTAAGCAGAATGATTTCTTTGTGACTGGAAATAAAAAAAGCAATCTCTCAAAACAATATTTAAAGCGTAGAGGTCTAGTTGGCAGTGATTTCTAATGCTTAAGGAACGTGGAAAAATTATTAACTCTTAGCATTCTTTCTATAAATATTTCCAATGTTAAAAAGTTGACAATGTACAGTGTAGAAAAATAGAAGTACAAATTGATACATTGCAGATTTGTTTTGTGAGTTAAGTGCTGATAGAAATACATACAAAACATTGTTTTAGATTTTGTATGTATGGTGATGAAATAGTTAAAAGGAACAGGGCTGAGCCCAGCCTGGGACTGAAAAGTATTTTTTTCATTGTCTTAAGGACTATTTTGTAGAGCAAACTAAACTTTGAAATATGCAACAAAGTAATAACAATGTATTTAAATATAAAAAATAGCATGCATACAATAGAAAAAAATACTATAACTTTTAACATATGTAATCTAGTATATAATAAACTTTTACAATAACTTGTTAAAACTGATAAGATAACTTCTTGGAAGATAACACCTACCGTTTTCGCTGATTGAGATCTCTTGTGTGACTGTTTCAATATGGTTTTCTCTTCATTAATTCCAAATGGCTAGACAAGAGTGAGATTATTTTCAGCAGTCTGAAATGATACTACTACAAATACTGTCAAACTTTAAAAGCACCTTCTGTGGGGTAAATAAGGCTGGGTCAGCATGCAGTCTTGAATGCAAAATGATAAATCAGTCCTGCTCGACTAATATATTGGAAAATATTCAACTTAATATGTTAATATAGTTGCTCTTATCGTTCAAAGCTTTAACTGGACCAACTGCAGTTTCATGCAATAAAGACTTAAGCAAAGTCATATGCTTCTCATTTAGTTTAGCATTTAATGGAAGACAAAGGAGCTGACTTCCGTTTCAGTTTAGGCATACGCATTCCACTTTTTTTGTGCAGTTAAAACTTGCAACTCAAGATACACACAGAGGAAATTCAAGCTTTTAGTTTGCAGTTTAGTTGGTTGTAGGTTTTGAAAATCTTGAGAGCATTCCAACCTTAACAGCTCATTATAGAAAACAGTGTGATGTATATTCACTGAGACTACAGTTTGTAATAGAAGCATATCTGCATATGAAAATGACATATGACAGAAAGTGCATATGGCAGAAAAATTACATTTCATTGAAAAATAATTCAGATTCATGTCTTGATATGAAAAGTGCTTCCTATGTTTTATACCTCTTAAAAGAGGGGAAATCTTTCAGTTTTATACACAGCCAACGAAGATAAACAGAACCTAAATGTACAAACAGCATTTATTGTTGAAAGGCATCATTGCTGAAACTGTCTGTGCTTTGGTATGTTACTTTTAGCTGGGACTCCAAATAGAAGATGCATCAGCTGAGAATATTTTCATTTGGATTAGTTTTGTAAGCCCAAAGCTATGCTGTTGTAGAATGTTTATTGCTCCAAGAAAAGCCAAAGTTCAGACACCAGCTGTTTGCTGTGGAACGCCATCTCAGTTGGAGTTGGATGCTTTGCTTTCAGTACATCTGCTGGTTTACAGTCTTCATTTGAAACTTGATCCATTCTGAACATAAATGTTTCCCCTGAATTCACTGTGCAGATGGAAAATAATGGTAGCAAAACTGAAAATCAGTGCATGTTATATTAAAATACTATGTGTCCTGTTAATATTAATACAGTACTGAGGCACCAGAAGAATTTTAAAGTTTTTTAGTCCAACTGTTCCTATCATTGGTTTCATTTTCTCTTAAATTCAGTGACTGATGACAATTTCTCTCACTTTTATGCCACTTTTACAACTCAAGCTATTATATGGACAGTCCCGGATTGGACTGCATCCGGAGCAGTGTTCCCTCAAGCGTTATCCTCCTCCAAAAGCCACTCCCGGGGAAAGGCCTGACAGTGGGGTGGGAAGAGAGAGTTGTCAGGAGTGGGTGTAAGGAATCACTGGAGAAAGCTCTTGCACAATTCACCCACCCAACATTCCAGGCCATTCCTGAAACTTTTTGACCCTTGGGATATGCTTTTGGATGGGCAGACAACTGTGCTGGGGAGGAGAGGGTAGAGCATTCACTTTGCAGGAGCACTGCTTTGATTGCAACCTGTGGTGTTTAAGAAGAAAAGTAAAATTGAGCCTGTTGTTGTTGAGATAACTGTTGTTGCTTTCTTGACTCTTTTTATAATATGATCCTCTGAGATTTTATTTCTTTGTATCTTGGCAGGTAGACTGTAAATTGAACTGGAAAGCTCATCCCCTCAAATTTGAATGCAAAGTGTGATTTTAATAAGGCTCTGCCTATAAGGCAAAGAACTCCCCAGTCATTTTTCTCAGTTTGTTTAACTGTACAGGGAAGGGGCCAAGGCCTCCCTTCATCTCTATTACTCCTGTAGACATGCATTTACTAGCTCAGTAATTTCCAAAGTGTATGCCAGGACAAATGAGTGTACTGTAACAGAACTGCTAATACAGAGCTTTCCAAACTTTTCATGTTGGTGAGACACTTTTTAGACATGCATCATGACAGAGTTTTACTAGTAACCTGGGGGTTAAACTAACCCTTTTCCAGCCTTGGAAGGAGCACGGGGAGCATTTGCATGACACACTTACAGGATGCAGCCGACATACCGTATTTTTCGCACTATAGGACGCACTTTTTCCCCTCCAAAAATGAAGGGGAAATGTGTGTGCGTCCTATGGTGCGAATGCAGGCTTTTGCTGAAGCCTGGAGAGCGAGAGGGGTCCGTGCGCACCGACCCCTCTCGCTCTCCAGGCTTCAGGAAGCTATCCCAAGTCTTGCAAGCCCGGCGGGATGTCCCGCGGGCTCGCAAGGCTTGCGGGCAGCAGCCTGCACCCAAAAGCTGGGGACAGCGGGGAGGCGCAGAGCCGCCACCCCGCTATTCCCCGACCTGATCTGGAGGCTGGCGGGGGGAGAAGCAAGCCTGCTTCTCCCCCCCCAGCCCCACAAGCTCGGGGGATAGGGGGATGGCGAAGCGCCGCCATCCCGCTATTCCCCGACCTGATCTGGAGGCTGGGGGTGGGAGAAGCAAGCCTGCTTCTCCCCCCCACCATCCCCACAACCTCCAGATCAGGTCGGGGAATAGCGGGATGGCGGCACTCCGCCATCCCGCTATTCCCCGACCTGATCTGGAGGCTGGGGGTGGGAGAAGCAAGCCTGCTTCTCCCCCCCCCCAGCCCCACAACCTCCAGATCAGGTCGTGGAATAGCGGGATGGCGGGGCTCCGCCATCCCGCTATTCCCCGACCTGAACTGGAGGCTGGGGGTGGGAGAAGCAAGCCTGCTTCTCCCCCCCCCAGCCCCACAACCTCCAGATCAGGTCGGGAAATAGCGGGATGGCGGCGCTCCGCCATCCCGCTATTCCCCGACCTGAACTGGAGCCTGGGGGCGGGAGAAGCAAGCCTGCTTCTCCCCCCCCCCAGCCCCACAACCTCCAGATCAGGTCGGGAAATAGCGGGATGGCGGCGCTCCGCCATCCCGCTATTCCCCGACCTGATCTGGAGGCTGGGGGTGGGAGAAGCAAGCCTGCTTCTCCCCCCCCCAGCCCCACAACCTCCAGATCAGGTCGTGGAATAGCGGGATGGCGGTGCTCCGCCATCCCGCTATTCCCCGACCTGATCTGGAGGCTGGGGGTGGGAGAAGCAAGCCTGCTTCTCCCCCCCACCAGCCCCACAACCTCCAGATCAGGTCGTGGAATAGCGGGATGGCGGTGCTCCGCCATCCCGCTATTCCCCGACCTGATCTGGAGGCTGGGGGGGGAGAAGCAAGCCTGCTTCTCCCCCCCACCAGCCCCACAACCTCCAGGCTTCAGCAGCGCGCCCTTCCCGCTGTCCCCCGACTTGGCTAGAAAGCTGGCGGGGGAGAAGCCTGCTCCTCCCCGTCGCCAGCCCCGCAAACTCGGGGGACAGCAGGAGAGGCGCAGCGCGCCTTTCCCGCTGACCCCCGACTTGGCTAGAAGGCTGGCGGGGGGAGAAGCCTGCTCCTCCCCGTTGCCAGCCCCGCAAACTCGGGGGACAGCGGGAGAGGCGCAGCGCGCCTTTGCCGCTGTCCCCCGACTTGTCTAGAAGGCTGGCGGGGGGAGAAGCCTGCTCCTCCCTGTCGCCAGCCCCGCAAACTCGGGGGACAGCGGGAGAGGCGCAGCGCGCCTTTGCCGCTGTCCCCCGACTTGTCTAGAAGGCTGGCGGGGGGAGAAGCCTGCTCCTCCCCGTCGCCAGCCCCGCAAACTCGGGAGACAGCGGCAGGGGCGCAGCGCGCCATCCCGCTGTCTCCCGACATGGTTTGGAGGCTGGCGGAAGGCTTCCTCCTCCCCAGCCCCGCAAGCTCCCAGAGCGATGCCAAAGCTGCGCGCAGCTTCGGCATGGCTCTGGGTCCCGTTCTGGGGGAGGGGGAAGCTCGGGCTTCCCCGCCCCAGCCCCGCGCCTGGCGGGGGGGGGGAATAAATTTTTTTTGCCTTTATTTCCCCCCCCCAAATCTAGGTGCGTCCTATGGACCGGTGCGTCCAATAGTCCGAAAAATACGGTACTAATGTGTCACGACACACAGTTTGGAAAGCTCTGTGCTAGTATGCTGTAGTGATAATGAGGGTGTCTGCCACATCTCTGAACTGTATGTGATTGGTATAATTCAGTCATTGCTGTTATAGAGAAACACTAGAATTTTTGCCACTGGAAGGAAGTTCTCAGTTGTGTGTCTGCTTAAGTCAGTGCTCTCTGGGTTTGCCTCCTTCAAATTGCATGCAGCTCAGTGATGCTTAAAATACACAGGGGCTGGGCTTCTCTGGGGCTGGAACAGATTTCTGACAAAAGAATTCTCCTGTTTTTGAACTAAGTTCTTTTTATTTGTATGGTGCAGTAAAATCTAGTTGCTGCCGTGCTGTGGCTGGAGCAGGCCAAAAGCCCACTCAGATCCAGCATCCAATTCCCACACTAGCCAGCTAGATGCTTATGTGAAGCTTGCAAGCAGGATCTGAATGCAATAGTCCTCTCCTCATTTGCAATTGCCAGCAACTAGAGTACAGAGAATTCATCTGACAGTAGATACCACCTCTGTGTGCCGCAGTATGTTGTAGCTGCTCATGCGCAATACTGTAAACCTAAATACCTCCTTGTATCATTCTTACGCACTTTAAAAATAAGTGTATAATGTGTCTCTAATTTTACTGAAAATTTGGGAAACACTATTAATCTACAGAGCAACCACTGTGGTGTTCTTCATATGTTGTGGGACTACAACTCCCGCCTTTATTTCTTACTGTTGGCAATGCTGACTGGGGCTAATGGGAGTTGGAGTTCAAAAGTATCTGGAGCACCACATCTTGTCTACTTGTAGATCAGTCTTCTCGGCCTGTAGCTTTTGTGCCCTCTTAGCATCTTGCTTCTAGTTTCATAGTTGAGACATGGAAAGATGCAGCTGTTGCTTGGCTGAAAGACCAGGTGCCATTTGGCTCCTTCCTTCCCTGAACTGTTTTGCATTTATACTGGTCGTCAAAACAACAGCTATGTGACTAAGAAATTGAGCCCTCAGTTTGCTTGTCTGAGACTTCATTCCCCATCCTTGTTGTGTCATGTCTTTTAATTTGCATACCTGCAGGCAGGGACAGACTGCCCCCACCTTTTAGCTGTTTTTAAAATGTAGGTGCTTCATAACTGATGGTTAATAATATTTCACCCTTACTTCAGGTTAAAATAGTGATGATTACAAAATGCTAACAGCAAGGGAGAGCTGCTACCTTGTGAGCTTCCCGGAGGCAGAGATAGAATGCTGTTCTAGATTGACCTGTGCTCTGATCCAGATTGGCTTCCCGGATAAATCACAAGGAAATAATAATAATATAATATAATATAATATAATATAATATAATATAATATAATATAATATAATATAATATAATTTATTATTTATACCCCGCCCATATGGCTGGGTTTCCTAGCCACTCTGGGCGGCTCCCAATCGAATATTACAAACACAATACAGCATTAAACATTAAAAACTTCCCTAAACAAGTCTGCTTTCAGATGTCTTTTAAAAGTAGGATAGTTGCTTATTTCTTTGACATCTGATGGGAGGGCAATCCATAGGGCAGGCGCCACTACTGAGAAGGCCCTCTGCCTGGTTGCCTGTAAGTGAGACACAGCAGCAGGCCACTGTCTCCTAAAAGGAAGAGAAGGAAGCATTTTTTCTGATTATCCTCCTTAAAAATACACTAAATATGGGACACTAAATACTCTGAATTATGGGACACTAATTGTAGTGGTCTGTATAATGAGAAGGGAGCCACTTTGGTGTTCTTCCTACATTGCTGGACTACTCTTCACTCCCCTGCCACCTTAAATACTGAATCCACTCCATGGGAATTTGCTGATATTGCAGTGTTCAGCACAGTGTGCCCTAGAGTATATACCGGTAAGTCAAATACTTTGTAGTCTCTTAAGGATGTACTTAAAGTTACGAGGTAATAGTTGTGAACCCTATATTTTGTACTTTTCTTTTTCTCTTTTTAAAATTCATTCTATTTCATATGTCTTAAAGGTAAGGTAAAGGTACCCCTGCCCGTACGGGCTAGTCTTGCCAGACTCTAGGGTTGTGCGCCCATCTCACTCTATAGGCCGTGGGCCAGCGCTGTCCGGAGACACTTCCGGGTCACGTGGCCAGCGTGACATCGCTGCTCTGGCGAGCCAGAGCCGCACACGGAAACGCCGTTTACCTTCCCGCTTGTAAGCGGTCCCTATTTATCTACTTGCACCCGGGGGTGCTTTCGAACTGCTAGGTTGGCAGGCGCTGGGACCGAACGACGGGAGCGCACCCCGCCGCGGGGATTCGAACCGCCGACCTTTCGATCGGCAAGCCCTAGGCGCTGAGGCTTTTACCCACAGCGCCACCCGCGTCCCCTTTCATATGTCTTACTGGATTGTTATTTTTTAATAAAGGCATGACATTTTTTCAAAAAATACTGTTGCCATGTGCAGTGTGAATTGGTCAATACTAAGTGATGCAGCACCACAAAAGATGGGTTATGGGCACAGGCAAAGGAGCTGGTCAAAGCTAGAGGAAAGGACTTCCATTCACTCCACACTTTGTAGCAAACTTCCTGTGAGTACATCTGACAAAACATGCTTTTGACTCTAATGTATATATGCAAAATAGATTAGAAGCCCGTGGACCTTTCTGAACATATTATTATTATTATTATTATTATTATTAAGTTTTATTTATATCCCGCCGCAGCCGGGCTCAGGGTGGCTAACAACAATAAAACAGTACAAAAGTACAGCACAAACAACACTCTAAAACCATTCATTATAAAATTAATTCAAATCAAGCCACTGGCAACCATTGGACCAGAGCTCCACGAAGATTGCCGAGGGAGGGAGTCAGGCTGTGCCCTGGCCAAAGGCCTGGTGGAACAGCTCTGTCTTGCAGGCCCTGCGGAAAGATGTCAAGTCCCGCAGGGCCCTAGTCTCTTGTGACAGAGTGTTCCACCAGATCGGAGCCACAGCCAAAAAAGCCCTGGCTCTAGTTGAGGCCAGCCTAACTTCTCTGTGGCCTGGGACCTTCAAGATGTTTTTATTTGAAGACCGTAAGTTTCTCTGTGGGGCATACCACATGATCTGTTCCTACTTGGTTTTTAAAAAATAAGGTGGCCTGAAGGCTTCCTGGCGCTTTTTCCTTAATAAAACCCAATTTTAGCTGTTTGGAGCAGCTAGAAGGTGCGGTGCTTGCCATGCTTACTGAAAAACAGCCCTGGAAATGGCAGCACATAATGATATGCCACCACTTCCCGAGTAACTGTACTAAGAAAAATATGTCTGCTCCAATGCATCTATCACCTTTTCTCTGGAATGGAAGAGATTTAGGTAGGTAGGTCACTATTTCTATAATATCTCAATGTAAATGTATAGTCTGGTATAGCTAAAATGAACTTTGATATTAACTCTGAAGTACATCTATTGAAGTTTCCCCTATCGGATATCTTTTTGTTTTTGCAATTCAGAGCTTTAGAAAGCAATAAAAGAAAGGAAACTGAATATGTATTACATTGGAATGTTAATATATTATAAGTAATCTATAAGAATACAAAACATCTGTTAAATGCTGAGCAACCTCTTGTTCAGAAATGGTATTGCTTCTCAAGTACTTCAGTGCAGTGTCAGAAACAGAATTTATTTAGAAAAACATAATAAAGCTTTTTCCCCATGGGGGAGGGGCAAAATGAATAATAAATGTCACATTTTCAGTGCATGTTTTTACTGATAACTTTATTTAGATAATCTTCTAGAAGAAATCTGTTACATTTTAAAGTATATTGTACATTTATTTGTAAATGCTTAGATATATAGCTAACTAAACATTACATAGTTACAATCTAGCTGCTTATATAATTCAGTCTATGTGTGTTGCTGACAAGCATCAGGTTTGCATAATTACTTGTCTGTTACAAAGTTATGTACAAAGAGGAAATGCTGGGTTAGTTCACATGTACAGTGGATGCTGGTCACATGACCCGGAAGCTGTACGCTGGCTCCCTCGGCCAATAAAGCGAGGTGAGCGCCGCAACCCCAGAGTCGGCCACGACTGGACCTAAAGGTCAGGGGTCCCTTTACCTTTACCTTTACCTTACAGTGGATGCTCAGGTTGCAAATGTGATCCATGCGGGAGGCACGTTCGCAACCCGCAGCGCCGCGTCTGCGCATGCATGGGTTGTGATTCAGCGCTTATGCGCAAAGCGAGATTTAGTGCTTCTGCACATGTGCAAGCGCTGAAACCCAGAAGTAACCCATTCCAGTACTTCCAGGTTCAGCGCAGTGCGCCACCCAAGAACGCTCAACCTGAAGTGTCTGTAACCCGAGGTATGACTAATGCTGAACCATTGTGAAAGTCTATGGTTTAGCACTTCGTGGATGAGCCACCAGCAAACCCCAGAAAAGCCTCTTCCATTTGCAACAGATCCTGGTTCAAAACAAAAAAATGTTAATTGCTAAACAAGCAAATGTGAAACCATGGGTTATGAAGCTGCCTTACTTAACTGCTGCTTGTTTTTAAACCAGGATTCCTGGTTTGCACATTAAACTAAATTGAGATTATTGAAACTGAAAGGAAACTGACTGAACTCCTTCCTCTTGGCTGGAGATGGGAGCAAGGGTAGTTTGCAAGCCCAAGAGCCCTCTGAGACTTGGTTACATAGCGTTAAACCATGGGAACCAGCCAGCAGAGTAAAAGAATTACCAGATGCTTCATAAAAAGACAACTCTGCTCTTATAATTCATCTGTATTGTCACTGAATTGAATGTAAACTAGTTCTGGTTTTGTATATGTATGTTCACATTAAGCATTTGAATGTTGGTGAACACTGGTGCAGATTACATCCTAGATCCAGTTTAAATGCACTAAGCACCCTATAGAAAACTTACACTAGAAGCACATTTCTAATAGCCTTCTTTTTCAACTGACTGTTGTTGCAGTATGTTTTTCTGAGCATATATTTGAATAATAAAGTGTTTATAAAGCAGCAAAATTTGTAATTGTGGACTTTTAATTATTTGATTGTAGCTGGTTCTCATAATGGAATCCTAACATTTTCTTAAAGTCCCGTCCAGGTCCTTTTACATCAGTGATGACTTTTATACTGGCTTCCCTAGGATTGTGACCATGCTTTTAACTTGTACTATATATCACAAACCTAGGAAAAATAATATTCTCATTTGAGAATGTCATTATTCCATAATGCAGACAGTAAGTTCAATGATATCTGTAGCTAGAAATATATCACACAAGCAAAGTTGATACTGTGTGTTTGTATATATAGTTGAAAGTTTCTAATTGGGTAGGTAAGATATTTAGAATCTTTATCTGTTCCAACATTGTCTGGTTTGAAAATATGGGAAGTACTTTTTCATTGTAGGTTGAAATTTGATAAATAAATGCCGAAAAATATGCAGACCTGCTTCACAAGTCTCACAAATATTTTGCATTTTCAAAATGATTTTGTTTGCTTTTTAAATGGGTATTTAAATGGGTAAGAAAATAAATTGTCATAATACTACTATACCTTATAACTTCTTAATATACATAAGGGTCAAAGTAATCATCATCCCTTTCCCTTTGATTATGATCATGATCTTGTTCTTCGTGATCTTCTGCTTCTTCATACTCTTCTGGTGTTAAATATCTTTGGAACACTGGCGTTCTCAGCTGTGTTTGCTGGTTGGCACCAATTTTTTGTTCACCATAATAAATACTGCGTATATGTGGAAAGCAGAAGAAGGCATATGTACTTATTGGAGTGGTGAGCTTGTTGTGTTCCACTCGTAAGTAGGTTAAGTGATTGAGGTTCAGTGGATCAATAGTAGGACACATTAAGGTAACATTGATTACTGTAAAAAGATAAAGCAATGTGTTAAAAAGGTGGAACTACAGTATTAATTCTAAAATGCTGATTTGCTGTCATAGAAGCAAAAATGGTATTCAGTATAATCCAACCAAGGAATACTTTAAAAGGAGCTGATTTTTTCCCTTCTGTAGTCATTTATAAGATACTTTTACTGCTAAGAGTGGATTCTGATACATTGATACATTATACAAGTCCCATTGATGTCAGTGATGTTTACCTCTGAGTAGAAATGTATAGGACTGTATGATTAGTTATGCCAGACTACCGGTAGTTAAGATGAAACCACTTCTTCAGCTTAACAATATAAAGCTACAATTACATATCCTCTTTCCTGGGAGTAAGCCCCATTAAACTTGGTGGGACTTAATTTCTCAGTAGATATGTATAGAATCACACTGTAACTTCTTTGTTTGTTTTTTAAGAAGTATAACATGATTCTGTGAGGCTGTTAATCTTATATATTGCAGGAACCTTTGCTTTCAAGCTTTTGTGACTTCCCACCCCCACCTGCAATTTAACTAAGAACTAACATTGTATAACTGGAGTTTGTAGTAATGAAAGAGATTACACCATGGATGTAAGAGTGCTATTACGAGACAGAATGCAATTCATTTAACAGTGATAGACCATGGTTGGTTGGTTGTAACTTAGAGGTCAAAATGTACTTTAGATTTTCAACTATGACTGGTGCAAACTATGGTTTTGCATGGAGTCTGAGTTGAATCAATTTGGGAATATGAGAATCTTGGGAATAATGGGTATCTGTGCTAAGCAGGTAACAAAGCTTGAAAAATAATAGGGTATATGGACTGCTGCTTCCCCCTCCCTTTCATTTTTCACACAATAGCATTTACCACCGGGGTTGGCTAAGTGGAGTCTTACCTTGCAATCATGACAACTCACATGGCATGTTGCTTTCTTCATTACAACCCATGCAGAAATAACTTTGAAAAGATGCCATAAAGGATGTGATGTTTGCAACTTGCTATGTGGGTGATGATAAAGTAATAATTTTGTCTTTTCCTCTGTGTCTTTGCTGCAGTACAGTATTGTCTCAAATGCATATTCAAACTTTCACATAAAATAAGATAAAATCAAATCTTTCTCACATATTCTGACAATAAGGTGCTATCTTTCACTCTAGTTGCTAGACAATATTAGACAATCCAATAATAATTAAAATTCTCAATGAATACTAAAAAAGCAGCTTTAAAAATAGCTTAGACAGCTGCTAGATACAGTCTGATCACAGATGTAGTATCCACAACTGGTGGATCCCTGCAGGTACCAATAGAGTCATTACCCCTGTCAATGTTGCAGAATGACATGGAGACATTGCAAGAAATGGGAAGTCTGTGCAATCCTCCTATGTCCTCACCTGATCCTTCATCTACATGCCATTCAAGTTATTTCTACTTGAGCCTGAACAAATACATTATTTTAAAACAACAGAAAGAACATTGGTGAAATTCTTCTGGGGGAACCTCAGCAATACCAGCAAAAAATACCTTTTTCTTACTACTAATCTTTTTTACCTTGATGCAAGGCAACTCATACATGAAAAAATGTCCTATTTGGTACATACAGACCTAAACCTCAACACGTGCACCTTTAACAACTCTGTAATCCACTGCAACGGCTGCAATTCTGGCTGAATATGATTTCAGGCCCATCAGAAGATGAGCTCCAGCTAGTGTATTGGATGAAGTATTTTATTGAAGACCCCTGCTTATATAGGACTAAAACTAGGTTCAGGAGAACTAAGCTATATGCTTGGTCTGATAGGGTTAGATAACCTAGTGATTACTAGCAAGCCTATCTCTTGCAAAGAATCAGATTTCTTTACTAATATTACTTCTGTCTTGTCATGATTTTTATTTACTTTTGTAAAGAAGAAGCAACTAGTAAGAGCGAATAATAATAATAATTTGACTTCAACTTTACCCACTCAAGCTTTAGCTTTAATCAACTCAACCACAACTCAACCAAAGACAGAAACCAGAGCTGTTGGAAAGGCTGTGGTTTTCAGTTCATACTTTATTTTTTAAACCATTAAGTTTTCCAGATTCTCATTTGTTTCCTTCTACCCATCTACCTTAGTCTTACACAACAGTCTCAGAGACCATGAGAAACTTGTATTGGTCTACATATATCCATTTATTTATTTTGTTTACTTCAAATAGGAAATTTCTTCTTCTTCTTTGGCAATAACTCGTAGCTGAGTAAGATTGTTTTCCATGAACATGGTCTTAACTGTGAGTCCGTAAGTGACTGTGGAGGCCAATTCTGGACCACACGTTCTTCCACAGTGGGGACATAGGTTTCTGGGCAGGAGTTGATCATAGTGAGGGTTTGCCAAACATGCCTTCCTCTTAGCACTTAAAAAAAAAAGTTTCATTTTTTCATATTACATTGCCTTGCTCTAACTTCCTGGAAAAATATTTTAGAAGAATAGGGTAGATATTCCACCATTTATGCTTTAACTTCTCTGTCACCATGCATAGCTAACAGTATGAAGAATGGTTAAAAACTAATATTAACTTTACAGAGACTAGATCATTGAAAACAAAGGATAACATGACAGAAATAACTCCTTAAAATAGTAATTCAACCAACCTTCCATGTCATTGTCTTCTATGTACAAATGCTGCAGGGTTCTTGGAATGTAGAATACTTGCTTCAGTTTATTGTGCCCAAGATTGAGTTCCACAAGATTAGAAAGGTTAAAAGCATTATAAGGAACTTCATGCAGATTGTTGTGTGTCATTCTTATAGCAGTAAGCTTTGGAAGTTTCTGGAAATAATTATCTGGAATGAGAGAAATTGAGTTATTTTCAAGGGAAAGATGCATAAGTGAAAATGGTAGATCTGGAGGCATTGATTGAAGTCTGTTGCTGCAGAGGTTGATCTGCATTAGGTTTTTCATCTTTGAAAAATGTGTTTGTTTCAGTTGAGAATCTTCCAGGTGGTTATTGCAGAGGTCAAGCATAGTCATGTTTACTAAACCTTCTAGGTCTTTGCTGGGCAACCTGGAAATCTGATTGAAACCCAGGAGCAATCGTTCTAAGCTTCTAGGTAGAGGGGATGGAATTTCTTCCAGCAGATTGTGTTCTAAATGGAGTTGTACTAGATTTGAAAGTTTGCCAAAGACACCTGTGTCAATCATGTGAGACTTAATTTTGTTGTGGCTGAGGTTAATTTCTTTCAGGGCAGTAGCATTAACAAAGGATTCCACAGGCACAGCTTCAATGTCGTTATTCTGTAGATAGAGTTGCTGGACGTGACTGGGAATTCTCGGTATAGTCTGAAGTTTACGATTATCACAGTACATTGTTAGTGGGAAAGTTGGTGGGCAAAAGCATTCTTTGGCACACTGAGCAGGCGTGCTGGGATAAGGAATGGCATATTCTATGCTAGGAATATGATGAAAAATGGATGGATATTCATTATCCATTTCATTATCATAGTCATCCTCATAGTCATATTGGCAGAACACTGGGACTCCAAAGAGGAGAGTGATAGTTAACAGTTGACTCAGGATTCCCATATTCAAGTTCTGATCTGATATCCTGTGGAAACAAAACAAAACAAAACAAACAAAATGTATTAATAAGACTGTTGTGAAATTGGCAAAATTATGTTGTCATTTTTTAATGTTGTTTTGTCTGAGAATTAACCATTGTACGGTTTTGAGACTAAAACATACTCTAGGCTTGGGGCTAAAATACTGTGTATGGTTTGAATCAGAACATTTCTTGGTAAATTATTATATAATAGTTGAAATGTTTTTCAACTACTTTTAGCTAAATATGAAAGAGATCTGCTACCTCTTAACTAGCAACTATTTTCAAGTCTTCCAGATAATTCAGAGCACAACTGCAAACCTAAGAACTGTTGATGATAATACATGGACTCTTCACAGCAAAAATAAATGAATCAAAATGTACTCAAAAGTGTATTAATTTGACATTTTAATTGCCTGTTCTTAAGATCACTCCATTGCTTGTGTTGACCACTTTCTTTCAGGTACCTTGCCACTGCAGTATGAGGAGAGGATTTGTTAACATAAAATGTTTGTTATTTCCCTTCCTAAACGTTTTTGTTGGCACAATAAGTATTTGGTTGTCGGTATCCTGACATATACATTAAATACGGTACATTTCTTTAGTATGTAAGTGTATGAGACTAGAGGTTTGTAAGTCATGTTTTGTGTTGAGGAAGTTCATAGATAAGGATATATTCTGTTTTTTACCTTTCAAAATTCAATAGCATGCTGCACATCTATTTAAACTGTAAAACATATACTGTACAACTACTGAGCAGATGAAAGAGTAAGCTAAATAATAGGGGAGGAATGCATTACTACAAGCTATATTTTGTGGTGTCCAGTGGAAAGGAAGGGAAGTTGTGGCAAAAGATCCTTTAAGGAAGCTTTGCGACTTGCTGGCAGTATAAACACAGTTGATGTAACCCAGCTATATGACAGGTCTTCTGAAAAGATGCCATATAAAAATTATTTACTGCCTCAGAAATTTAATGTAGTTTGGTTCTAAGAGAAATATACAGGCATAACTGTCAAATGGCATTTATTTCCATGTGTTTCTCAACAGCTCAAGCACTAAAGTGATGGCAAGGAAAGGAATATTCATAGTTTAGCTTCTGTGGTGGAAGGGAAAGTTGTGGGTTTGGATTAAAATTTTACTCCAGCTATAGAGACAGAAGTAATAGGTTGAGGATTAGAAGACGATTTGGAAGAGATCCCAGGAACTAGGGAAGCTTAGGTCAGAGAGTTCAGAGGCAGTGCTGGGAAGCAGGGGGTCAGAATATATACTAAAGTTTCTTGCTGCTCACCCACTGCTTAATCTGAGAGAGGCATCTGTGGAAAGAGTGGATAAAGGAAACAGAGGTCCAGGGAAATACCGTATTTTTCGCCCCATGGGGCGCACCGGCCCATAGGGCGCACCTAGTTTTTTGGGGGGGAAATAAAAGGGGGGGAAATTATTTTTCCCCCAGGCGCAGGGCTGGGGCAGGGGAGCTTCCCCCGACCCCAGCCCCCAGAACAGGCTGCTATCCGCAAGCCTAGAGTGCCCGGCGGGAAGTCGTGCTGGTCTCCCCAGGCTTGTGGAGAGCTGCCCGAAGCCCGGGGCACGCTGTTCAGCGTGCCCTGGGCTTCGGGATGCAGGCAGCTCTCCGCAACCCTGGGGAGACCAGCGCAAAGTCGCACTGGTCTCCCAAGGGTTGCGGAGAGCTTCCTGAAGCCTGGAGAGTGAGAGGGGTCGGTGCGCTTCCCCCGACCCCAGCCCCCAGAACAGGCTGCTATCCGCAAGCCTAGGGTGCCCGCCGGGAAGTCGTGCCGGTCTCCCCATAGCTATAATTATACATAGCTATAAAATGTAATTATGAACATGCACAATTGTTAGAATACTCAGAGTGAAGAGAAAACTGGCTAATGAAACTATGGAAATGTGGGGGAAATTAACAGAATGCTTAAGTTAGAAAAGTTGTGTGTTATTGATGGCTGAATGCCAGGGTGATTAAAGGAAGTAGATGAGATGAAGTAGTGGATGAAAAGGAGGAAGTGGTTGAAGAAGGGCCTCAGATGATGATCCAGTGGTCTGGGTTGGTTCAGATGGGGAGAGATGGTCCTTGATGTAGTGTGGTCCCAAGCCATTTAAGGCTTTCTAGGTCAGAACCAGCACGTTGAATTGGGAACGGAAACTAATTGGTAGCCAGTGCAGTCAGGTCAGGATTGGTGTAATATGCTCAAACTATCTTGCCCCAGTGAGAAACCTGACTGCCAAATTCTGCACCAGCTGAAGTTTCTGAACTGTCTTCAGAGGCAACCCTATGTATAATGCATTGCTATAATCTAACATAAAGGTTACTTTAACTAGAGCATAGACAACATGAGTTAGGATATCCCTATCCAGATAGCAATGCTTCTGGGCCACCAGCCAAAGCTAATGGAAAGCACCTCTGTGTCCTCTATAAGAGGTCCAGAAGGTGGCAACATGAGAACAGGTTTTTTCTGCAGTGGAATTCCCATTTGTGGAATGTTCTCCCCAGAGTGGCTTGCTTGGCCCCTTCATTAAAATATTTAGGTGCCAAGTGAAAGTGTTTCTCTTTAACCAGGTGTTCAGCTGATCAATATTCTATGGCTTTATAAAACTGTTGGGGGGTGGTTATTGGTTTGTTTTTGTTTTATTGTGTACTTTGTTTTCTCATTTTGTATTTGTATGAGCCACCCTGGGATCTTCAGATGAAGGGTGGTTTACAAATAATATCAGTAGTATCAAAACCTGCCAGGAAATCAACGATAAGCTATAGGCCATAGTCCTCCTGTTTCTCTCCTGATAAAGATGATTACTATTGTAACAAAGGCTGCCTCAGTGCCATACTCAGGCCTGAAGCTAGAATGAAATAATAGAATCATAAAACCATAGTTGCAAGGGACCTAAGGGTCATCTAGTCCAGCCCCCTTCCATGCAGGAATCTCGGCTAAAGAATCCATGACTGATGGCTTAAAAACCTCCAAGGAAGGAGAGTCCACCACCTCTAATGGGAGTCTGTTCCACTGCCAAACAGCTCTTACTGTCAGAAAGTTTTTCCAAATGTTTAGTCAGAATCTCCTTTTATGTAACTTGAAGCCGTTGCCTCAAGTCCTACCCTCCAGAGCAGGAAAAAACAAGCATGCTCCATCTTCCATGTGACAACCCTTAAGATATTTGAAGATGGCTATCATATCTCCTCTCAGTTTCCTCTTTTCCAGACTAAACATGCCCAGTTCCTTCAAGTGTTCCTCATAAAGCTTAGTTTCCAGACCCTTGATCATCTTGGTTGCCCTCCTCTGCACACGTTTCATCTTGTCAACATCCTTATTAAATTGTGGTACCCAGAACTGGACACAGTATTCTAGGAGTGGTCTGACCAAGGTAGAATAGAGTGGTGCTATTACTTCCCTTGATCTGGACCCTATACTTCTGTTGATGCATCCTAGAATAGCATTAGCTTTTTTTTGCTGCTGCATCACACTGTTGACTCATGTTAAGGTTGTGGTCCACCAAGACCCCTAGATCGTTTTCACATGTACTGCTAGTAAGACAGGTGTCCCCCATCCTATATTTGTGCATCTGGTTCTTCCTGCCTAAGTTCCGTAATCTGTTAAGGTCATTTGGAATTCTGATTCTGTCTTCTGTGGCATTAGCTACCCTTCCCAGTTTGGTGTCACTGGCAAATTTGATGAGCCCCTCAATTCCTTCATCCAAGTCATTTATAAAGACATTAAACAACAATGGGCCCGGGACAGAACCCTGCGGCACCCCACTTGTCTCTTTTTTCCAGGATGGTGAGAAATCATTAATGAGTACTCTTTGGGTTCGGTCAGTCAAGGAGCTACAAATCCACCTGACAGTTACCTTGTTTAACCCACATTTCACCAAAATAAACTGCTTCCTCCAAGCACGTCTGAAGCTGACTGTACATGACCATCTCAGTCATCTTGCCCATGAACAGGACATTTACATGAGATGCAGAGAAGTGTTTGGATCCTAACCAAGGGAAATCTTACCCTATCAATAATATTACCTGAAGCTTTAACATTTAGTATATGATTCATGTTTTTAGTTTGCATCAGTTGATGTACCAGTAATCTGGTCTTTTTATCACTGACTTCCCACAATGTTGGTCAGCAAAATTCTAAGAGAAATCATTTCTTCAAGATATGGAAAGAGTTAAATGTGGTTTTTAGTTTTCTTAAGTATCTCCAGAGATCAAGAGTAGGTCTTGCACAGAACATTAGGGCAGCAGTCCTAAACCCACTTAGCTGGGTGTAAATCCATTTGATTCAACTTTTGAGTAGTCACGTATAGGATTATGTTGTAAATCTATTCTCTTATGGTTTTCTTCTTTCTATAGCTGGGCCTGTCCCATAAAGTCTGATGTACAGCCACTGCTGAATTGATGTCCCTGACACTAGGAATTTCATGCCTTGCTACTTGTAAATAGAGCAAAAAAGTATCTAATACTCAGTTTCCAGTTAATTCAAAAGGAGACATTACACAAAAATAAAATGGACCAAGAAACAGGAATATGATCTGATATTGCAATAGGACCAGTATTATGAAATATGTTTAGCTATTCTAATTCAGAATATATTTAAAGTCAAGCTGAGAAGTGTTTATGAGTTAAAAATATAAAACTACAATACTGTGCAGTTAGTTGTTTTCACTGGCAAATATCACAAAGCATGCTTTTTGTCTAAATATCAATAATGCATGCAAAACTACTAGTAGTTCCCTCTCAACATTAAAAGATAAGATATTAAATCAATTTAAAGACAATATTGGGACCATAGCTATATTTATTTTACTGTATTCTATCTTCAAAGTAAATGTCTACTGTACAAGCTCAAATGCTAAAAATGAAAAAATATTTCCTAATTCAGCTGTTGAGGTGACTTGAGAAAATTGATATCCTAATCTAAATAATCTGTATTATTATTTCTTTATAAAGAAGCTCTCTAGACTTCTGTAGCATTTACTAGGGCTCTGATCTTACAACTTTCTGTGATACCATTATTAGTGAAATCCTTCCAAGCATATTAAACAACATTTTAATAATATAGTCACACAACACTTTGCTCTCCGTTCTTCATACAAATCCAATATACCACAGCTCCCGAGGGACACTTCTTTAAGGCTGTATTCTCTTTTCTCCTTAGCAACTTTCCCCTTTGTCTTTTCCACTTCACTTTAAACACCTTCCCTTCCAAAAATGAAGATAATGAAGTCAAAAGCTTACTTTTTGTGTGCAAAAAGAAGACGATACTTCTTTCTTCTCAAGCTTTGGTACTATAGTGGCCGTTCACCTACACTCTCCCTTGTTTCAAGTCCAGCTTCCTCATATCTCATCTTTTCCTTATCTAGATTTGGCTGTACAATATTAGCTTTTAAATGTTGACATATATTTCCCAGTTCTCATGCTTCCTAATTTGCTATTCAATTCTTCTGATGTTGAATTCATTTTTGTTAATGAACTGATTCTATTAGCATGTGAAAAATAACTGAAAGTTGTGTCACGTTGATTGAATAGGTCAAAAGTATTATTTACTTCAATCAACTTACTCTTACTCCTAAATAAAAGACTAATAACTTGATCCTCACATAAGTGGCAGTAATGAAGACAAGGGCATGCAGCATTGCAACTAAAACAGTGTCTGGGGTGCTAGTCTAGTGAAACATAGTCAGTATGGTGTATTGGTTAAGAGTGTTGGACTATGACCTGGGAGACCAGGCTTTAAATCCCTTCAGCCATGAAGCTCACTGGGTCACCTTGGGTCGGTCATTATCTCTCAGCCTAACTTATCTCACAGGGTTGTTGTGAGGATAAAATGGGGAGGGGAAAAACATGTACACCACCTTGACTTCATTGGAGGAAAAGGTTTTATATAACTGTAAAAAATAAATAATTAAAACAGCTCCACTCAGCATGCCTTTCCAACCCACCAAGATGTAATAAAATGCTGGCTGGCACACCATTTTGCCAGCACAGATAGACTGGAGTTGCTTTGATAGTTATAAGAGGCATCAACCTCACCACTACCTGAACTACCTTCTTGTATCCCAAAAGCATTGATCCTCCCCCTCTCCCATTTTTTTATATAGGCACAGCAGAACTGACATCACCATTTCTCCAGAGCAGGGGAAATATTTCAGCATAGTAGACTGGCAAAAGATGGAATGTAGGGTGTTTTTTTTGGGGTGGTGGTGGTGGTAGTGAAACATAGGATCAGACTGTTAACTGTTTCTTGGGGATTACGCAATATTACATAATTTCCCAGAGTTCTGTTTTCTGTTATATCTATGCAACATGGTCAAGAACATTTTAAGAGATCACCAAATGTTAATTCCTGAATTTAGTGAATAATCAGAGTAATTTATTTATATTTATACATAAATATGTCTAACCGTATACATTTGAGCAAAAGGTTTTATGTATCACTGAGTATCACTGGATGCTTCCAAGGATAAAACTACATGACAGATATAATTAGATGAAAGGACACTGGATATACGCCAAATGTATAAAATCAATGTTCATGATAATTGGTTAACAAGGTTATATAATAATCTGAAGCACATTACCAGTAAGAAGATAGAAGTATTTAAAACAAATAATTTCCTACCTCTAAATTATTTTGTAGTTTTCAACCAATGAATATGCAGCAAGCTTTAGAAAGTGTCAGATGGTGCTTCCCTTAAAATCCATAGTCACCATATAAGAAGTATCTAGTTCAGAATATGAGTACTTGATGAAATGTAATTTACTGCAAAAATCCTCCGGAGACGCTTAAAATGCTGCTTGTTGCACAAAATAGTTTATTCAAATAAGAGTATACTTTTACCGTAGTGAAATTATGTGGCTTTAGCCTGCTTTCTCTAATGTTTGGTTTGAGGTGTGGCAGGAATTTCCTTCACTTGAAGGGGTGGCTCAAGATTATTTTTAGCATGATCCATCCAACTCTGTTTGTTTTATTGTCAGTGCCAATTCTTGTGTCCATTCAGTTTGTTTACTGCCTGAAAGTCCAGTTAAGTATATTACCATTCTCTCCTTTTAAGGACACTTACTGGTAAATTATATCAACATATTTACATTGCTAACTATTTGACATTCTTGTTATAAGCTAAATCTTACTGCTAGTGCAAGCATGAACATCACTTGATTCCTTCTGATTTGTGATTCCTGAATAGTCTATGACTCACATCTGGATTTATTGATTGCTCCATTGTAACACACTGTCATAATCTATCACCACATCAAGCTAAATGCATTTCAGCAATTCATTTCATTGGATTATAATCCTTGTTGAAATAAATTAGTCACAACTCACTTTTTATATTGATTTCAGTGGGACCTAAATGTAGCTAACATCTTCTGGATATACAAATGGTTCAAAGCATGTTTAACACTGTGATCCTATACATGTCATTACAGTGGTACTTCGGGTTACATACGCTTCAGGTTACATACACTTCAGGTTACAGACTCCGCTAACCCAGAAATATTACCTCGAGTTAAGAACTTTGCTTCAGGATGAGAACAGAAATTGTGCAGCGGTGGGGGCAGCAGGAGGCCCCATTAGCTAAAGTGGTGCTTCAGGTTAAGAACAGTTTCAGGTTAAGAACAGACCTCCAGAACGAATTACGGTAAGTTCTTAACCCGAGGTACCACTGTACTACCCACCTTATAAAGTCTGTTTGAGTGCTGGTGACATTTTCTGCTTTTAACTGTCCCTCTTCTCCTTTATTGAAGAAGGTGGTTAACATCTGTTTGCAATTTAATTCTAAAGCACTCTTCCCCAATGATTACAACCCCTATCATCTTGGTATGGCAGTGGCCAGGAATGATGGAACTTAGTCAAACATTTGGGACCCAAGTTTGAGAAATGATGCTGGAGAGTTTCCCAGATAATGTAGACTTCTCTATTTTTTACCACTTGTTAATCTTTCGGATTGGTCAGAGATTCTTTTGTTAGCTTGAGTGGACCATCTTTACTTGAAGGCAAAACACAAAAATACAACCCTGTTGTTAAACATCTCAGCAGAATTCAGTACAATTGACATGGGGTTAATGGCACAACTCTTTATTGGAACCACCCTGTTAGGTAGAAATGGAACTACAGAGTACCGGTACATGCTGCATACTCACAAGATTTCCAGAAATCTTCATGTGCTCTTCTAATCTTCCTAGTCTTCCTAGTCTATTTATGTCACAAATTAAAGCTGCAGTCATAGGCCCACTTACTTGGGAGTAAGATCCATTGCACTCATTGGGACTTTACTTCTAAGTAGACATGTATAGGATCACTCTGTTAAACATGCTTTGAACAATAACAGTGTATCCAGATGATGTTACTCACATTTAGGTCCCACTCCCTGCTGTCGCCTCCTCTGACAACAAACTTTTGTCTATCTAGCTGCTTATGTTTGCTCATACTAAGCAACCTGCCAGCACTGGAGAGAAAAAGACTGAAACTGATCCAGACAAACACAACAAGAGGCAGCTAATGATCTTTCTGGCATAGACTGTATTAATTACTGTTCAAGCTGGAAAGGATGTAGCTTATCACAGCAGGCTAATGGCAGTTTTAACTCTGGGTGGACAGTCCAACATGACCAGGACTGAATAGCCTGCTAGTCACCTGAAAGAGCTCCTCTGGATGACACTGAGCAGATGGAACAACTTATTACAGTGGAAGAAAAACATGGTATACAAATGTAATAAATAAATAACATTACGACAAACCAGATCAAAATATAATAAAAATCAGTAAAAGTAACAACACCAAATAAAGTTTTATTTTGAAAAAGGTTGTTTGAAACTCTATGTTTGGGCTATTTTTGAAAGCTCACTAAAAAGTAGACAGATGGTCCTTTCTGGGAAGCATATTCCAAAGTAGAACTTGCCTGGAAAAGTTGACCAGAAGAAATAAGTGAATATTATTATTAACACTATTATAATTTATTACTGACCCTTCACCCTAACATTAAATTACCATTCATCATTCCATTTGTCATTACCCTGTGAATACCTGGATTCTTGCCTCTCAAACCCTCCCTGTGACACAATCAATTAGGCTGGTTCATACCTGGAGCCTAATGGATCCAACTGGCTTACACAATTCTACAAGGGAAATTCTATTATGAAAATGTTTTCACAGCAACCCCTAAATTCCATACCCTCCTGTACAAAAGTATGTATAACTGAAATAGTTTCATATTCTTGGTGTCTTTATTCCTGCATCCATTTCCCTCCCCTTTCTATGTAATCTTCTCTGTTTTATGTATGGATTGCAAATCTCTTGAGACAGGAACACAGCCATCCATTTTAAAAAGTTGTGCATATAGTTTGAGCTATATAAAATAAGGATTATTCATGTTAATGGTTATCCTGTGGATAGTATAAATGAATTATGAAATACAAGGCTAACCTCAGGAATAGACATGGTAGTTCCTAGACATCCATATCTACTTTGCCATCAGGACATCCACTAAAGAGTGCAGATGGTGAAAACCCCATGTTCTATATGGGCAAACAAAACACAGAGCCTATTTGAAGACCTAAAACACTGTTTTTCTTCCAATGAGCTCAAGGTGTATACATGGTTCTTCTCATTTCACCCTCACAGCAACCTTGTGAGGTAGGTTAGGCTAAGAGATGGTGACTAGCTCAAGGTCAAGGTAGGTTAGGCTAAGAGATGGTGACTAAACAAAAAAAATTCCTTCCAGTAGCACCTTAAAGACCAACTAAGTTAGTTCTTGGTATGAGCTTTCGTGTGCATGCACACTTCTTCAGAACTAGCTCAAGGTCACTTAGTGAGTAATGCGTGGTTTAAGTTGGTTTGATAACCTATTTGAATTATAAAACAGCAATTTTTAAAATGCATCAATAAAACAATTGAATTGTCTGCTGGGATTGCCCCGTGACTGATATTTGCCACTCAAGCCTAATGCTGTACTGAGTATTCAGTGACACGGTCTGGGGCTGGCCCAACTCTGCTTTCCTAGCTTCATATAGCCAACAAATACCAGGTCAGCCATTTCATTCACAATCAAATAATGTAAGAAGGTTCCTGTCTTGCATTTATGTGCCACAGATGTTTAACAGTAGATTAAGATATGCAGTAGTTGAATTTTTGAATTTAAAGACAGAATGTGTTGGAGCAACATATTTCCTGCCCGGCAGATGGATGGGACTCATAACATTTCATTTTAAAAATCACTTTCACAATTTCCATATCTTGTGCTGTACTAGGTAGACCTGTGCCCTGATCCAGCAGGGTTCGCCTTACATTTTTATCAATAAAAGTTTTATTATGTTGCCTGAATTATTTTTGGACAATTCAATAGTATGCTTTAAGACAGAAATATAGGATTGGATCCTAACACTCTGTGAGCAGATTTCCACTAACAGGGTGTTCCTATTGGTGGAAAGGCAGTATGTGACCCTCCCTTACCCCAGCAGCCATGTGTGTCCTAAAAAAGAATAAAAAAAAAATTCCTTCCAGTAGCACCTTAAAGACCAACTAAGTTAGTTCTTGGTATGAGCTTTCGTGTGCATGCACACTTCTTCAGATACACAGTTGGAAGGAATTTTGCTACTGGAAGGAATTTTTTTTGTTTTGACTATGGCAGACCAACACGGCTACCTATCTGTAACTGGAACTAAAAAAGAATCTGCTTCAGACGGCTGGAGCACTCCCTGAAGCATCCATCATAGGAGATGGCTCTGGGGGCTGCCAATGAAAACTGCTCTTCTGGCAGTAGGCACCTCCATTGTATCAAAAGTCTCTTCTGTCAACAGAAGGAAGACTTCCATTAATGGAGAGGCAATTCACATAGTAAACAAAACACTTGTAGTTAACATAAGAACATCATGTTTCAGATATCTCTATCTGATCTTATTAGTTCAAATGCTGGAATAAAAAAGTAAGAGCAAAAGTTTGAAAGTAGCAAATCTGTGATATGCCGAGTAATACACACTTTTTTTAAACTGGCCATTTTTAGTAGGAGTTCGGGACAGTCTTCAAAGCAACAAATGACAAACTAGTGATATCAATTTCTCACAAAGTAGCCATTTATTTATTTATTTATTTATAAACTTCTACATCATAACAATAAATATATCAATATTTTGTAACAGTAAACCTCTTCTTGTGATCAAACAGTGCGTGCCCTACATAAATATCTCTCTGTGGGAAATGTTGGTCATCAATCATGTTTATATTTAAAAGAATTATTTGTTTATTTAACATTTCTATTCTGCCCATCATTACAAAATGGGTCATAACTATAAAATTCATCAAATATAAGATTATGAAGCAAATAATTCATTACAATTTATTAGGTGGCAAGGTCCTAAGCTGTTTAGGGCTTTACACATCAAAGGCAGCACCTTCAATTGAGCTCTGTGATGAAAAGGCAGCCAGTGCAAGTATTTCAGGACCTGTGTTGTCTAATATGGCTGTATGAGATTATATAACACCTTTGCAGCTGCATTTTGTACTTGTTCCACTCTATGAACCATCTTCAAGGACAACCCCTCGTAAAATTCATTACAATAGTCTAGCTGGGAAATTACAAGGATATGGATTTCTGTGGCCAGGCTATACCTGTCCAGGAGTGACTGCCTTTGATCTGCAGCTGAAATAGGCATTCCAGGCCACTGTAGCCACCTGGGTATTCACTGACAATTAGAATGAAGAAATACCCTCAGTCTACACATCTACTCCTTTGTGTGGAATGAATCCAGAATAGCCTGCTCCCAAGAACTGCAAATCTACAACACCTTTTTGTGTTGGAATTCAGTGTCAGTTTATTGGCTCTCATTCAGTCCACTGCTTCTAGGTATCAATTAAGTACCTGTACAGCTTCACCTGATTTCAATAGAAAAGGAAGAGAGCGCTGGGGATGCCTCACTCCAAATCCCCTTATAAACTTCCCTGAAAGGTTTCATATAGAGGTTAAATATCATAGGGAACAAAATGGATACCTGCAGGGCCCCATGGCACAACTTCCAAGGAACTGAGGAGAGGTCCTCTGCTGTTATTTTCTAGAACTAGTCCGATGGCTAGGAACTGTAGGGTGCTGCAAGAACTCTGTAGTGTCGTGCCTTTAACTCCCAATCCACAAAGTCATTCTAGAAAGATACTACAGGTTATGTTATCTAAAGCTGCTGAGAGAGCAAGAAAAATTAGCATAGTCTTAGTCCCCATGTCCTTCTCCTAATAGAAGTCATCAATCAGGGTGACAAAAGCTATATTCAGGAAGCTGGGTAGAAATGGTTCAAGATATAACCTTCCAAAGCTAAGCATTCTTAGTGGATGTACGATGGTAACATCTGCCTTCATGCTGATCAGTACGTGGAGATTGACCTTTTTATAAAACACATACATGGCTCCTGAATAGGATCACTGGCTGTCATCTTGACTATACATCTCAGAGGCACAGATAGCATGTCACTTGGACAATGATGGTATAAAAGGAATTTGATGAAAGCATGTATGAACCAGGCTTCTATACCTCTTATTGTATATATATAAAAAGATTTTAAGGATTGTCTGTTGGAGTGTGATGGTTATTGAACACAATTAGCAGCAAGAATAAACAGTTGTGAATAATACCTATGTGTTGCTGGTATGCACACATTTAAACGAGAGAGAAAATTAATTATTAATCCTTCTAGCTAACAAGGATTTAGTGGGCGGGGATATAATTGCTTGAAATAGATATTATTATTTGAAATGTGTGTCCATCACGCTAAATGTTTAAAAACTAGAAATAATGCAGTTCAGCAGAATTAAACTGAGAAGCTATGCTTTATGAGTGTATACACTTTCCTTAGTTAGCTTGAGTTTTGGAAGAGACATTTCCCACACTCACTTGATATGCTCAGTTTCAGAAACTACAAAGGAAGGTGTTACCATGTGTCAGGACTGGTCGTTGTCCTCTTCAGATCACCACACAAACGCTTCTTGTTCTTTTATAACTTTTTATTGTATATTAACAAAATAATCTTATAAACAGATTCCTCAGAGTCACTTATTTCAGATACCTTCTGAGCTCTGCTTCTCCGTGACCAGCCACCCTCAAAATGGCGAAGGCGCCTTTCCCTTCATTTTCCCGCTCTTTTTTCTAACCTCCTGGCTAGAGCTGGCTTGTATGTTCCCTCCTCCGAATCTGAGCTAGAACTTAACCCTTGCCTTTCCTGTGAACAGTCGGTCCCTCCCTGTTGTTCCTTTTGCTCCCTTCTATTAGATTCACTGCTCTCCTTCCCCCCTTGGGGAATGCTTTCTCCCTCTGATAAACTGAAAACTTCTAACTCTTTCCTGACACCATGTTTCACTGGAGCCTGATTGTGGGCTAAAATAAGAACATTTCCCCTAGAATGCTTCCTAAGAATATTCTGTATTAACCTGGTGTCAAGTAAAAAGCAGGGAATGATAGCCTATCCTTATTTCCCAGAAACTATATAGTTAAAAACTCTTAAGTCACATTTGTACTGATACATTCATATTTTGTAAACAAACTGCAGCAAGTCTGGCTCCTGGCAGCACATGTAGCTCAGCTAATTTTTATTGAATATTTTTCCAGATTTATGCTGGCCAACTACTTACTTCAAATTGAATCTCTGAGTAGTGTTTCCAGCTTTGTCAGTTTAGAAGTTTGTTGATTTTTTAGTGGTTCTACATAATAATCTTTTAAAATTGACATTTTATGTGCACTGTTGTGTGATTGAACAAGTAAGGTAACTGTTACAAGCTTCTTCCCAGATTGTCTGAGACACTGGAATGTGATACGTGGCATTTGGAGCTGAAGCCAGTTGTTCACTTACTGCAAAACTTTCCCATATGTTTCTTGTTAGCAGCTTTGTTCTGAAACCTAGAGTCTTCCCAGAAACAAATAGAAAGCAGATTCTTAAGTTTTACTGAACACAAAAAGTATTCGCAGTCTCTTTCCACTGAGTAACCATATTTCTTAAGAGTGTATACAATAATAGTTTTAAAAGAGAAGAGATTAAAAACTCTTATTGTATTATATGCTTCTTTTGCACTTGCATTTTTCTGGTGATTTTTATTAGCTAGGAAAATAATACTCAACAATTTGTTTAAAAACTGAACAGCAGCTATCAATGTTTGGATTAATTAGAAAAACAGGAGGAAATCAAAGAACAATTTCTCATATTTCTTACATTTATTACAGGTTTACCATGCAATCTTATACATTTCTACTCCAAAGTAAATCCCATTGTGTTCAATAGGACACTGCATGGTATTGTATTCTTTATTGTTTCTATCTACTGCCCAATTAAACATGTTCTCTGGACAATTCACAAATTTAAAATGATACCAATACAATCACAACTAAAAACAATACAGAAAAACTATAGAAGCACAAAAGTCAGTATGAAACCATCATAAGCAACATCAGAGCAATAAAACAATGAAAACCAGCAGTAAAATTAACATTTGATATGAGAGCAACTACTGAAAATGTTCTTTCCTAACTGCCTCAACTCATTAGGAAGAGGAACTATGAGAATGGCCTGTAGTGAAGATTTTTAAGGTCTGGGGAGGTATATATGGAAGGAGCCAATTCTTCTGGTATTCTGTCTCCAAGCCATTTAGGGTTTTAATGGTTAATAACAGCATTTGAATTGGGCCTAGAAATAGATTGGAAACCAGTGCAGATAACCAAGCACTGACATCATGTGCTGATATCTACCAGTTCTTATTAATAATCTTGTCTTTCGGGGTGGGGGGCGCGTGTAACTGAAATTTCTTTTCCAGAGCATTTTCAAAGGCAGCCCACAGATTACTCATTGTAGTAATCCACCTGGCAGGTTACTAGAGCACCAATAACTTTGCAGCACTAGTTTATTTATCCACCAAACCTGATAAAAGGCACTCTCTGTCACCATGGCTGCCTGTGCTGCAAGTGAAAAAGCTAAAAGCTAAGAGAACCACCAAACTACAAACCTGCTCTTTCAGGGAAGTGTAAGCCCATTCAAAACTATTTAATTTGAGAACCATTTAATGAGCAGTTGAATTACCCATGAACAGTACCTTCGTCTTCTCTAGATTTAAGTTTGACGCATCTCAGCCACACCCCAGATTACTTTTCTCTGCTTTTGTGTAGACATTGAATAGTAGGGGGAAAGCTGTAATATTCCAGCACCACCTTCATGAAATGTAGTAGAAGTGGAACCACTGTAATGAAATACCATCCAGTCCTCTGTTTCAGATAGCCTGTCTAGAAGAATACCATAGTTGGTGGTACTAAAAGCCTCTGGGGATCTAAGAGAATCATCAGGGTTGCACTACTTCTG